ATCTATCGATTAGGACTATATCTATATACTAGATAAAGAGGCTATATTAGAAGCGCCCGTACAATAACTAAAAATCACCGCTAACCTCTCGGAACAGTTATGTTCCGAGGTAGCGTAAGTAGTGTACCTTAGTTCTACTAAAAAAAGATTATTGCAGAGTTGTCGCTAAAAGCGCACCGTAGTCAGGGCGTCCTGCTCTAGTAACAAGTCAGCAAACCAAATGTCGGACGCTAGACTAACGAACAGCCGGCTTACCGAGAAGATCGTTGCAAACGTTACATCATCCCTCCGAATCACTACATGGACTTCCCGCTATCTTCAGGCGTTGTTGATCGCCTCTGGACTTGCGCAGTAAGGTATCCCATGGTGCATAGCCGGCGGGGAGATCGGACCCCGAATCCAAGAATCCAAGGTATCCAAGGTATCCAAGGTGTCCAAGCAGGCACTAAGCCTTCTTCAATCGCATCTGGCCGGGGAATATTACGAGACGTCCTTCGTGCCTCGAATTTGGAACGGGCTTTGATACGAGTGGCTCCAAAGGCATGACTTGCAATTCCCCTAGCTACGGAGTTCGGGACTCAACACATGTTACCGGAGATTTTATTTCAGATTACTCAGGGCGGCTTGTTCGAGTCGAAGCGTGAGGAGACAACTCCGACCACTAACAGTGTGGCTATATCGAACCTTGGGAGGTACCTCGAGGTAAGTTACCTGCTTACTTAAGCCCTAGGTATCTGACCACAATCATGGCTAGATTAACTTTGAAGGTAGACGGGGTTTGTCCATCTTTATTACAACGTAATAGTACTCATCACACTCTCGCCGATTTCTAGTGATGACAAGAAGCACTACACGCGGTGCCACGGATTCAACACATCCCGTTGTACCCTGCCGTCTTCACACAGGGGCTCCAAGAGCATATAACCCGAGTTCCACTCCTAACTGGAATGCTTAAATTAATTACCGATCTTGGAAGCTTTAAAAAACTTGGAGGTCCTTGGGTGCTCACTGCCTAGGTACTAAAGATCTTAGCAGTGAGATACACAACGCTTAAGGTGTACGCGTCTTTTACTAGTAGAGAACAATGCTTACCATCCTAGAGAGACTACTTTGTGATGAGTAACGCGCCGGGGCGGATTCTCCCTATTCCAGAGGACTACTGAGTATTCGGCCATGAGCTCTGCTATGGATGACCTCATTAATTCTCTTCGGGGCGGAATATGCCATAGAGCTCCGGAGCAATTGGAATGTATAAAGCATTCTCTGAATCCATCGAGAGAAAGAATCATCCAAAACATCAACCTCATCTTCACAACCACAACACAACATTCATTACCACCCCAAAACACCAACACAAAACCCCACAACACCAAAACCGCAACAATGAAGACCACCTGCATTCTCGCTATTGCCTCCACAGCCATGGCTGCTGCTCTCCCTCAGGCCGCCGCTCCGGCTACTGCGCCTTTCAGATTTGCTGGACTCACTCCCTCTCCCGGCAACGCCATTGACGGAGGCTCCGTTGAGGGCCAGAACGGTGTCCTCTACATTGGAAAGGACACCACCACCACTTGCGATGCCGCCAAGGAAAACTGCGAGACATTCGAGTCTGAGTTGACCAACTTCAGGTTCACACCTGGAAAGTTCACCCTCCAGCTTGACGCCCAGGTGCCCGGTGGCCAGAGAGTCTATGTCACCGGCTTTGACTACACCGGCAAGATCCCCGCCGGCTCTCTCCACTATACCAAGGCCAACCAGACCGGCAACGTCGGCCTGGCTGTCTTCGAGGGCTTCAACATCACTGGTGGAAACCTCCAGTTCGAGGGCAAGGGCTGGAAGTCCTGCCCCCTGAGCGCCTCCGACCAGACCGCTGGATGGACCATCTTGGCCGCTTCTCGCGCCAAGGCCAACGCGACCTGTGTCGATTTCATTTTCCAGGCCGACGAGCTCGCCGCTGATGCTCCTACTGCCTGGGCTTTCCTTTAGATGGTCATGACTTATGAGCATTCATGGCCGTGGCTGTTGACGTGCCAGGCATAATTTGTTGTATATATTTGGATTTTTTGGGAATGGTCCCTTTTTGGACCCGGGCATGGCATGATTTTATAGAGGGTTCATAGCATATATTGAAATTCATGTCTGATTTTTACGCTAAGCTGAATAAAGGGGCATTGAACTGGTCAAGTCAGTCTCCTACCACTTCCACGTCTCAAATCATCCACCATACTTTGTGAGGGGTTTTCAAGAGACGAACTTCCTAGCTTATTGCATTTGAGCTGGTATCTACGTTGTCGTGACTCGCAAAGGTGAACTTCTGTTCTCCATCGATCGAAACGGTGTTCAATGGGCATCACATCTCCWCAGAGTGGCGAGGTCGTACGACTCGATTCTGAGGAAAGATGCTCGGATGGTGATTTGGGTACTTTTTCTAATGCCTTCCAATCACGACTTGCCATCTTCTGGCACATCACCCCTTTTGTCGTTTCTGCTGATGTAAGGAACAGTGGCCACTGGGGAGGAGACGCTTGAAGAGTGGTGAGAGTATGGCGAACAGATGCTTCGTGCTCGACTATCTTCTTAAACCGTGATCGAGCACTGTCCGAGTATCGAATGTTCTTTCTTACAAGAAATATTTGTCGCACCATCGCAAAAACATTGGAGCGAATTCTGGAAAAAGGTCCGCTGACTGTGATATCAACCCTAGGTCACCAAAACCTCACACCTTGTCAACTTCTTCCCATCTTCCCCAACATCCATGGATATCTATATGAAACGGTACCCCAGGGAAAACGGTGGCTTTTCATTATGCTAGACCCATACAAGCCCTGAAAACTTCGGGAAGCTCATGTCGTAGCAGCCACGCACCTGGTTTGCATCACTCATACTAAAACCATATGAACCCCTTGGACATCTCGTCAGCCTCACGCTCTTGACACGACTCACATCGCCTTGACCGTCAACGGCGATATGCTTCTCGCGCTTCGGATCTGGCTCGGTGAGCACCTTTTTGGAATCATCGGAAACCCCAGTTTCCCGGCTGGATATCGCATCAGCCCGAAGCGTGTTGTCAAATGGCCCTGCGATGAGCCCGAAGTGGAGGGTCATCAGTTTGTCATCACAAATACGGATTTGCCTGTTCCACGTATCTACCGAACGCACAAATGGCGAGGTCATCTCGCCATCGAAATGGAATTCCTACCGCGTTGCACGACGCTCAAGCAGTGCTGGCATGAACTTTCGGAGAGGCAACGAGAGCAGATCGCAGACCAATTGAGTGGATACATCCAACAGCTTCGATCACTCGAGCCACCGCCGGCGCGGAGCGGCAGGGTCTCAGCCACGAACGGTGGAGCTTGTCGCGACATTCGCGTAGGCTCGGTGGAGTCGTTTGGTCCATTCGAGAACGTTTCCGCATTCCATTGCTGCTTGCGCGGCGGCGTCGAGCCAGATGCCGCGCAGGAGATCTTTGGCGAGAAAGTTGCCGATGTTCATCGTCGTCCTTATGGCATCCGCTTCACCCATGGTGATCTGGGTGTACAGAACATTCTCATCCGTGACGGACAAATAGTGGCCATTGTTGATTGGGAATGCTCAGGATGGTACCCGGAATATTGGGAATATACAAAGGCTCACTACAACAGTGTTCTGCTACCGGAAATTCTACGAAGTGCTCCGTCAGCGCATTCCGCGATACGATGACGAGCTCGCAGCAGAGCGTGCACTATGGCGATCGTTCGACCAACCGCTAGATGTTGTTAACTGATGGGCTCAGCCCGCACTCAGCACATGGCCCGAAATCGATCCTGATCTTTCTTTGGCAGCCCTCTCGCCATCAGGCCACTCCCCAAGGCCATTGGTTTACGTCCTTCTGCAGTGCAGGTTTCATGCCCGAGGTGTTAGTGACTGGTCGAAAGAGGTCGAAATCCAATCATATGCAGGAGAATGTTGCGAGTAAGGTGGGATTATACGTTGAAGATTTCCAAAAGCCTTGAACGTAGAAGGCACGCACATCGTGGACTGTGTCTAACCCCAACCTCCTTATCCTCCTCAACTCCATACACCTTGCTCTCCCCAATTTACTCCTGACCACGCTACTCCTCACCTGAGAAATCTTGCCGATGCTTATGTCGCAGCCACACGCCTTGTTCGACACATCTGACGGTCAGAGATATACTCATGAAATCCTTGGAAATCTTGCTTACAGACGCTTGTTCTGCAACCATAGGCTTGTTTTCGCACCACTCGCGACTTAGCGTGTTCGAGATATACATCCGAATCTCTTGGAGACTTCGCTTACAGAAGCTTGTGTCGCGATCCCAAGCTTGTTCGCACTACTCGCTGTTAGAAGCGACAGTCTCGAAGCTATGCACTGGAGCTAAGCCAGGGTGGTATATGTCGACAGCATCAAGGCGTATTTTCCCACCAATGAGCCCCTCCGAAGTGGGATGAATCGAAAACACAATGGAAGTGGAGTAGAAGAGGCCCAATGTCGATGATGAAGATGCAGCGCATCGATCGTCGGGGTAGATTTATAAGGAAGTCTTCTCCCTCCTGTTGGCCCTCATCAGCTTAGGTTTCTTCCATCGAGCGAACTCCTCCATCACGACAGTCAGAATGCTGCTCCTCACCACTCTCCTCAGCTTCCTAGCTTACACTTGCATCATCAACGCTGGACCCATCCCCGACGCCCAACCCGAACTGATCGTTCGTCAAAACGGTCTCGACTTTGTCCAAAACTACAACGGCAATGCTGCCAACTTCAAATCCAACCAGGCAGCGGGCACCTACTCTGCCCAATGGAATGGCAACACCGACTTTGTCGTAGGACTAGGCTGGAAGACTGGCGCAGCTCGGTAAGTCGTTCCCTTCTCTTCCCCTCCTACAAAAAGTTTCGCGACAGCATCTAATGCCTGCCATTTCCAGCACCATCAAGTACTCAGCAACCTACTCAGCCTCGGGCTCCGGCTCCTACCTAGCCGTATACGGCTGGGTGAATTCCCCACAAGCCGAATACTACATAGTAGAATCCTACGGCTCCTTCAACCCTTGCTCCAACGGCGTGACGCAACTCGGAAGCGTCACTTCCGATGGAGGCACCTATACCGTTTGTACGGATGTACGCACCAATCAGCCTTCCATTACGGGGACGAGTACTTTTACGCAGTATTGGAGTGTTAGACAAAGTCAGAGGACGGAGGGAAGTGTGACTGTTGGAAATCACTTTGCCGCGTGGGCGAAGCATGGGTTTGGGAGTTCGTATAATTTTCAGGTCTTGGCTGTTGAGGCTTTCTCGGGGAGTGGGACGGCTAGTGTGACGGTGTCGTAGGATGGAATCCAGTCGAGGAGATGGTTGTTGTTGTTGGGAGAGTTGGGACTTGGACGGTACAGCAGGACTGGACCGTAAGACACTCGTTTGAAGATTACCTGAGAAGAGAAATTGAGTTCTGCCACAAGTTTTCTCTGCATACTTACTCGCACTCAGACTCCGGGACTCCGATTTACCTGCACCCGCTTGTCTTTGCCTCCACTGACAATCCCCACCTCCTCATCCCACTCAACTCCATACACCGTGCTCTCACCTCCTTGCTCCTGCTTCTTACCCTCCACACTTACTCTCTCAACAACATACACCGCCTTTGCCACCTGCCCACCTCCCGCCTCCTGTGTCGTGGATCGAATGTCCCAGATCCTACACGTGCTGTCGTCGCTCCCGGAAACGAATTGATATTCATTGGTAGGATTTCTGGCGATCGACCGAATCCAGTTTGTGTGTCCCAAGCATTGCAAAGCGGAGACTTTCGTCGCCGAAGCACGGAGATCCACGAGATCGATATATCTTAGAGCACCTCCCGTGGCGATGAGGGAATGGGAAGGGAGATGACAGATGGCCATGAGAGATTGGTTCGTCGTCTTCGTGTCTACACAGCGAGAAGTCGTGAGGTCCCAGGTCTTGACGCTGTGATCTAACGAAGCTGAATACGCTACTGTGGCATCTTTCTCGTCAAAGGTCACAGCGCGCACGTCTTGAGTGTGAGATTTCAGGAGTGAAAGAGGACCACGAGTGGCGGTCTCAATACTAGAGGTGGAAATCTTGCGGCGCTTGTTTGTGCTGGTTGGTGCGGCGATTTCTGGAGCAGGTGGCGCTTCACTCTTCTTCGTGGACCAGAGACCCACGGTATGGTCGGCGGATGCCGTGAGGATTCGAGAGGAGGGCGCATGGACGGCGAGGTTGTCGATGAGTGATTTGTGGCCTATCAGCTCAAGTTTAGGCTTGAGGGTTCCGGAGCCTTCGGTGAGGCCATCAGTGTAGTCCCAAATGTGCACCGATTTGTCAGTTCCGGCAGATACGACTTGTGTTGGCGAGAGGAATCTGGCGGTATGGATCGACCCTCTATGCCAGTTTCCCGTCGCTATGACTTCTTGGCTGGTGTTCCAGATCCTGAGAGATCCATCAAAAGAGCCCGACAAAAGTCTGGACTGGATGGGAGAGGATGATTTCGTCCATTTTGCGGCCTTGGAGGAAGATGAGAGGATGTCGACGGTTGATATCCAGTCGTCCTGCTCATACGAGGCGATGTGAAGCGGAGGTACCAGGGCCTTGACATACTCAATGTTGAGTGTTGTTTCCGCCGAGATTCCATTTTGAGTGAGAAATTCATCGAGAGAGGTGCGAAGAAATTGGCCATTGATCAGGAACTCCAATGGAATCGGCCTTTCCGTCTCTAGCAGGCGGTTGACCAGGGTGGAGAGCTGATATCGCTTGAGATCTAGGAAAGGATTAGGTGATGATGCTCCCAATTGATGGAAAAGTTGGACCAACCGGTAGATACCAAGATCGGGCCCGTCTCCTGCGGCAATTCGATCGCTCCATCCTTAGACTTGAGATGAATTCTCACCTGCGTCGAGTGATGGGTTGCAGCTTGTTCGGCCATTGTGAAATGCGATGCGCCGATTGCCTCTTTTCCTTTTCCCTTTCCTTGGATGATGTTCTGAAATCTCGAAATATTTCGAGTCCCGGTCGGCGATCGGCACATCCGACATCCGACCCTTCCCGTCGGTTAGCGTGCTCCGGAGCCAGTCAGCATGGCCGCAATCACATGAAAGTCCGCTGATGTCACGTTGCGCATGGGGGTTCCACTCTTTGAAGTTTGCACCGGGCGAGTCACATGTACGTGATGTGATGCGTGCCGACTGCCCCTCTTACTCCCCCTCCTCCTTGACGTTGTGTTTACTTTGACATTCGTTCCTCTCATCTTCCATTCTCTCGTCTTGCCTGCTCATAAAGGCATTTGCAAACGGAACAACATCGGTGCGAGCCGAGACGCTAGCGACTAGCGACAGCGACAGCGTCAGGAACAATCCCAATTCAGCCGAAGGACGCGAGAAAGTGAGGTCAGACGACAACGACAGAAGAGAGCAGTCTCTGGCACTCCAGTCCAGCATCCCCCAAAAACATCTTCCACCACCAGCCATGTCTCATCCTGCGGCGCACAGCTTCGACGAGGAGCCTCTGGAGCTGAAACCTCGCCCTCGCCGTCCTTTTGAGCTCTCCTCGGACCCACCGACACCTACCAACGACTCGCCCAATGCGAATACATTTCCCCCTTCAATGGACTTCAAGGAGGGCAGCACTCCCTCTCGAAACCGCAGTTTCCTGAACCTCACATCCTCGACCCTCTTCGGCATCTACTCTCCTTCAGATTTGGGTACAGACACCACATCTGCCACTCCCATTGGCGACGGAACCCAGACACCCGTGGATCGTCGATCCTTCGATTTCACCCGCAGCGACAAGAGTCGAAACGCTCTCCCGAGTGCCGCCTTCACCAAGACCTCGAATGGGAAAATCACACGTCGGGACACAAACTCGCGTCCTCGACCACTGACAAGAAAAAAGACCTTTACAAACTTCGTCCTACCCACCACAGCTCGTCTTGCCACGCTGTTCGTGGTGGGAGGGCTCTATGGAAGTCTGATCTCGCATCTACATGACGCACAACATCTTGCACCCACCGCCGTGGCGTTGGATCGGCAGAATTGGCCGTATTACATCGTTTGGGGACTCATTGCGGTCGTGTTGGGAGAGGCACTACCTTGGGCGGATATGCTGTGGGCGGAGGATGATGATGAAGATGTGATGGAGGACGAGACAAATGCGAATGCAACACGAGGGCGAAGACGGGACAGCTGGCTGGATGCTGTGCGCTCCCTCGGCCTGTTCGTGGGGATTGCATTTGCTATCAGAAAGTTGCCGTGGCAGAGCACACTCCAGCTGAGCTTGACACTCGCATTGACTGGACCAGCGGTGTGGTATCTTATCGACCGGAGCCCGCCCGCCTTCTTACTCAGCTCCGTCGTGGCGCTTGGTGGGACGGTGCTGACGCTGGCTATCAACCCTAGCTTGCTGCCAAGCCCCAATCCGAGGGAGTTGCTGGAGGGTGTCCTCAGGAATGGGACGACAAGAGGAGATGATTTGGTTCTTGGAGTTTTCAGGACGGATAGCGTTGGCGTTGCTACATGGATTGCAAGCGTATTGTTTGTCAGTGCCGTGTGCTTTGGGAATGTGGGAAGGAGGCTGGCGAGCAAGAGGGAAGTGTAGAGTTGGGCTTTGGGATCATGGACGGGAGTGTCGCGGTATGTAGCATTACATGTGTCTGCCATGCGCCATCAGTCGCTGACATGGGAAGCAAGGTCATTCCTCTCTCATTTCTCATGCAGCGTGTTGGAGTAACAGCGTGTTGAAGTACCAGCGACCCACCGAATGGCTCACGTTTGCGTGGCTGTCAGCACATCATTCCTCCATGTCCTTTGTTCCCGCAGGATCAGTCCTACGTTCGCACAAAATCAACCCTCTTTGGCCCTTCAATCTCCTCCTTCTCCACATCCGCATCCATCGCCTCATCGCCCTTCTCCTCCAAAAATCCACCACCCGCCGCGAGCACCCTCTGATAAAAGGCACGCATCAAGTCTCCATAAACCTCATCCCCACTCCTCCCATCGACTTGCACGGAGATCTCTCGATTCGTCGCACGAAAATACTTCATTGCCAATTTCCGGTCATTCGAAATAACAGACGCTTGTGTCAAATCATGCAGCCAGACAACGCATTTGACGTCTGAAATACCGCGCTCGCCTTGGAGACCCAGGAAGCGTGTGAAGGCGTCGATTGATTCCGGGTGGTCTGTCATGACGAATCGCCTGGCAATGTTAGTCGAGGGATGATACTGGAAGAATGAGGTGAGATGACGACAAACCGGTGGCCTTCTGCAACGAGCGCATCAATCTTCTTCCTCACAAGCCCGACGAGAAGCTTGCCCGGGATCTCGTGAATGCGGTCTTCATTCACGTATCGAGCTAGAGCTTCTGGGTGTAGCCATCCGAGCGACCCGGCTTTGTAGGCACCCACCGGATCGCTTTCCACAGATTTGGCGAGGGAGAGAATGTGCTCTCGGACTGAGAAATGATAGAGTCCGAAGTGAGAGGCAAGACGGGAGGCGACGAGAGATGTCATGGGGTAAAGAGGTGAAGACGGAGCCTCGCCGAAGAGTGCGATGATGGACAGAGGCGGGKTTGGAGGTGGTCTGTAAGATGTCAGTGGGATGAGAAGATGGAAAGGGAGGGGAATGGGTACGGGTTGATCGTCCTCTTCAGGTCAAAGCCCGGTGAAGTTAGATTCAAGTTCATGCTTGGCCAGGCGAGACGCGGCTGAATCGTGTGTTAGATCTGGTCGTCTAGAGGAAGTGGACAGTGAGAGGGCGCACCTCCAATCCAATCCAGCCGTACGTGCTCGTGGCTGGATTCCAGACCTTGGTGCGGTCAAACTCGAGCCAGCGGCTGTTGGTGATCTTCTTCGTTGCTGCCATGTCTGTGATGGCGGCGTATAAAAGGGTGTGAAGGTATGTATGTGGAGGGGATGGAAGGGAGGGGAAGGGAAGTTGAAGACGGAGATGTAGTGCCGTGAAGTCGAGTGAAGTGAATAATTTTCTGTGGAGCGCTTGCTCGTGCTTTCTGCATCTGCATCGCCTTCCTTGCGATGTTTGCCTGAAGCCTCTAGATCTAGATCTACTCGGATCGGCGTCTCCAAGAATCGAATTCGTCAATCATGTCGGATGTCTTGCACCCTCTCTTCTTCTTCATCTTCTTCTGCATCCTTTCGTAAGTACTATGTCAATCTTTCAAGCCATTCAAGTCGTAACAGCGTATACGCAATCGTCAACACTGCAGCAGTGATCCCGTCCTGTCTCGTCCTGTCTGTCATTTTCCTCCCCCGCCCTGCCTTTCTTCTCTTCCTCTCACTCACAGAAACATCTTCGCAACACTCAACAATCCTCCCGCGTTCTCCATCCATCCTCCACCCTCTCCACCCCCTCCATACCCCGCACTGCCATAGTATCCTCCGCCACCTCTCCGAGCTCCACCATCCATCATTCCCATGGGCAGTCGAACCCCAAACTGCTTCAACAATCCTCCGACCGCGCCTCCAGCGCTTAACAACGGCACCACTACCGCAAAGAATGCCTTTACGGGATGCCTCCTCGCATAAACCCACAACTCTTTGATCATGCGCTGCAATCTATGCACGAGATACGTAATGTATCCATCTCGTGGTCGGCGTTTGTAATAACTGGACGAGCCGCCCGAGGAGAAGACTCCACGAGAAGAGTTCCCGCCACCGAAGAAGGAAGCTCCAGAGGCTGGGCGGGCATGGTGTGCGTTGGACGAGGAGTTTGCGCCAGGCCGGACGAATGCGCCGCCGCCGCCTCGAGAGGAGCGGGCGGGTGAGGCGCCACGAGAGTGAGAGCCACCACCGCCGTGGTATGAGGAGGAGCGAGGAGCGAGATAATCGGCGCTGTCGAAAAGGCCCATGTTGACGGTTGGAGGTGTGTGAGGGGTGGATTATGCGCTCCAATGGTGACTGTCCACGTAGGATGTGCAAGAGAGGATTTGCGCTGCGCAGGATAGGCGAGGTGGGAGTCCCAATGCTTGGAATATCCCTCGTCTAATATATACGAAACGACAATGGAGAATTCTTTGCAAGACTTTGCCAACGATCAAGTCGTCGTGTTGTTGTCGACAACAAGCTCACCGACTCAAGACAACCTACCTTCCATGAACCCTCTCTCCACGACCCTGACCCTGCAGCGCGTGGCGGGAAGAAGATATGGTTGGAGGTACCTTGCGCCACCATCCCTCTCCAGGAAAGGTCGCCAAACCTTCCCCAACGCACGAGCTTTGCGAGCTTTGACATGGTTCTGCCTGTCTCGGGAGTGAAATGCGGGTAAGAGTTTACGCTCCATACATAACTGGCTGAGGGACTTGCCATGTCGTCGAATTCGGTGAACATTGCCCGAGAAAGCCGTTGTGCATGCTGCGTTTGGGATCCTCGCTGTTTCGAAGAAACGTATTTGAACAGAAGATTTCTGGCTTGCCATATCGAGTCAGGATGAAGCACCATTTGATGATTGGGACGTGGTACGTATAGAAAGTCCTCTGATAGTGAGGTGTGGGCGAACATGTTGCTGAGCAAGGACTCTGTAGGACTCCACCAGGAGCCATCTTCACGGTACAATTTGATGATGAGCTTTTAAAGCTGGAACTGGTCAAGAGGACGGAGATTCCAGAGGACCAGCCCATCTCATGGATGACTTTTGATGTACATTGACCTCTACCAGCCTTGCTCGTTCAGGTACTAATATGAGATGTAGCATACACGAAAGAACATCTACGGAGCTGGGATGAAGAAATGGGGTTCCTACGCCGTGGAGTCTCCATCGAATATCGTACACCGCACATCTTTGGCAATGGGCGGACATCGTACGTCTGATCAATCCACAATTTGTTGACTACCTTGTCTGACAGCATTCATAGCAAAGGCGAATGAAGCAGACACGAAAACTCGGGCGATATTCGTTTTGGCAGCCCAGAAACCTCCTTACAACGTCTATGGAAACCCATTCTACGACTATGCGGGGTTCCTCAATGTCTTCAGCGTAGACTCCACCGGTGCTCTGGACAAGAACATCCAGAATGCGGAGCTAGATGAGCATTCCGCTATTCATGGAATGGTCTTTGATGCCGAGGAAGAATATCTCTACTCGGCTGATATGTGGGCCAACAAGACATGGTGTCACAAAAAGGTCCGTTTTCCCCTTCTATCCAATCTTCCTCACTCACATCAAATCTGACATTCTCTCCCAGGACTCCGAAACCGGCCAGCTCACCCTCGTAGGAAGTATCGACGCCCCATCTCCAGGCGACCATCCTCGATGGGTCGAAATCTCTCCTTCGGGGAAACATCTCTACGTCCTGATGGAAGCCGGAAATCGCCTGTGCATTTACACAATCGACCCTTCAACCCACATGCCAATCTACACAAACACCTCATACCCTCTCATCCCTCCCGGAATGGATACCTTCCACCCCAAGATGTACCGTTCGGATGTCGTCTTCCGTTCCCAAAGCGGCAACTACCTCTTCGCGACGTCTCGCTCAAACTCCCCTTCTTTGACGGGATACAATGCAGCCTTTAAGCTGGATGCAGAGGGTGGAGTGGAGAGGCAGATTTGCTTGAATCCGACTCCTACAAGCGGTGGACATAGCAATGCTGTGAGTCCGTGTCCGTGGAGTGATGAGTGGTTGGCGTTGTGTGATGATGWAAAGGGTTTCGTGGAGATTTATCGCTGGAATGAGGAGTTTCTGGGGAGGGTGGCGCATTTGGATATCAAGGAGCCGGGATTTGGAATGAATGCTATTTGGTATGATTGATTGAGCTGGTCGTGCCTGGCGGAGATTTTGGGATATAAGGCGAGATTATTCAGTGGTAGGTGATCCGTGGACGGTCTCCTCTATTCTTCCGTCGAATTTGTGCTTGCTGTTTCTTCAATCTTAAACGCGCAATATCCCGCGCTGTGGGAGGAGCGAATCTATCTGTCGTGGGATCGAGACGGTCTTGAAAATGCCCTTTAATCCACGCGGCACCTTCTGCATTGTTGTTCCGTACTGCGAGGTCGAAAGTCCGCTGCAAGAAATGATTAAAGTATGCATTTGTACGTTGCTCTCTATATTGAGAATAGTGCACCTGCTTTGGATGTGCGTGGAGGAAATCGATGGCAAGGGTCTCCGTCGGCGTTTTTGGATGGCACATGGCTAGAGAAGCCATGTTGACGGGACGTGAACATGAGCGATCGGTCGTCCACTTCGCGAATTTTTCGAACAATTCGACGTCTGTGTTGCCATCAAGATTGTCACGAAGCGCGGRGGCACAATGGTTTGCGGCTGCCTGTAGCGACACGATGGAGGGATCAAAGCGGGGCGCATTGCTTCCAGAGGAAAGTGTTTTGTAGTCCGCAATCGCGACGGCCTGCTTGTTTACAATGTGAAGCATGCAACGTAACATGCCGGACAAACCGGTGGTGAAGGTGGCGTAGAAACTATGGGCTTGAACCAGGCTTTCAAGTAGTTGGCCCCTCCAGACACTATAAGGGCCCTCCTCCGCCAATACTGATGTATCGGTGAGGGTGACAAATGCGAAGTCTATCACGAGATCCTCGAGACCCTCCAGTATCGCGTAGTAGCTCAGTCGGAACAGCGTGTTGCGGTCGAATACGACTATCAGTCTCCACAGTCTCTCATCACTCCACACTAAGACAATGTAACGTCAGAACAATTCAATAAACCGAGTCCCGAGTGGCATGTACGTACTGCATTTGAGTGCTAGAGCAGCGAGGCCAGCTCTGCCTTGTTCCTGGGCGAAGTCACGCCGGTACTTGCGAGGCAACGCAGCAGCTCTTTCATACTGTGTATCAAGGCAGAGTCGGATGACGTGCGGAGTCACTGTAGCGTCCTGCACAGCTTGGCGCAGAATCTCCTCGGGTTTGCTGTCAGGCATGGAGAGTGCCTTCTGGACGGAATGATCCGATGTTGAGAGTGGTCCTATGCCTCTGTCTCTGAGCTCGATGCTCGAGTCCCGACGTTTCAAGAGCAATCTTGCTTTTTGATACGATGCAATCCTTYCTTTGGTGAAGGCAGCCTGGATTGCATCATCCTGCGATGGAACGAGGTGCCGGTGGGGAGTGTTTACTCAATGCCCGCGAGGAGGCGGAGGAAAAGTGCCGGGTTTGGGGATTGACGTTGCATGGCAATTGCGCCCAGGTCGTCAGTCGTCGAGTCCTGGAAGGGCCGGTGGAAGGATGATCGGATGGACGGTATGCAGCAACACGCCTGATAAGAGGACTCTCCGTCTTTCTTGGCCATTCGGTCCGCTGTGTCTGGATTGTCTTTCGCTTTGCGATTCTGCTAGCCAAAATATCACGCTTTAGAGGGGCTACAAATCGGTCTGTCGCAGGGTCGAGACGCTCTCTGAAACGTCTCTTGATCCACTCGGCGTCGTTGACGTTGCCATTGTCCATCGCGACGTCGAATGTGCGCTGTAATAGATGGTTGTGGATCTCCCAATGTTTCGGGTTCGTTTTCGAGCTGCATCCATCCCATTCCCGTAGGAACTGGAGCGCAGTAGCCTCTGTGGGCGCTTGCGGATGGCAGAGCTGTAGTTTTGCCTTTGTAAAGATCCCGGAGGTCATTTCCAGTGGGGAGGCTAACATCTMAAGCCGCAATTGCACAAAATTGTCATATAACAGGCCATCGGTGCGGCCGCCAAGCTTGGCCCAGAGACTACCCTCGCAATAGGAAGCGGGCTTGTTGAGCGCAACAAGAGATGCTTGTTCAATGCTGACAGTCTTGCTCCTGTCTACCATCCGTTGCATGCAAGTGAGCATAGCATCGGCGCAATTTGCAGWGTCGAAAGCATCGTAAGCCATTATCAGCCTCAGGAGCAGCGTTCCCCTCCAGAAATTGTGCTTTCCAGGCCCAGCGAGCGGGGACGATTCATCGGCAATTGCGACAAAAGCCCACTCAATCACGTATTCTTCAAGCGATTCGAGAATGGCGTAGTAACATATTATAAACAGGGAATGCATATCGTTCATGACGAGCGTTGTCCACAGTTTCTCATCAGTCCACACTGTGCAAGAAGATTAGCGCTCTGAAAGCTTAGGCGGTGAGTGAAAGCAAGAGAAGGCCAGTCTACGTACAGACGCTGAGGAGCAGACGTGCAAAACCCTCGGCCTTTTGTTCGGCATGCAGTGCATGTCGGGTCTTACGAGGCAACTTTTCGACCTTCTCGTAGTGCTGCCGGAGACAGAGACGGATCACGTGGGGCGAGATGGTGGACTCCTGAATGGACTGGCGTAGTACCTCGATGGGGCTGCTGTCTTGTTGGCGAAGTCTCTTCTGGATGGCGATGTCGCTTGGGCTCAACGGCCCAAGGACTCTGTCACTGTGTTTAGTACAGGCATCGTGGCGAGAGAGATGGAGCAGGTCCTTCTTGAAGAGTGCCACGTTGTTCGGACTGCAGACGACCGGGACGATGTCGTTCTTGATGCCCGGAGAGTGCGACTTTGAGAAGCCATCTTGCGACGTCGAAGAAGACTTGGAGAACTGCCGGCTTTGACAGTTGATGGTGTGGATGAAGCCGGGCTGTTGAGGCTTGATGACGGATCGGCGAGCAATTGAAAGAGCAACGCGCATTATTAGAAGCAGGATACCTAGCCTTCCATGTATTTCCAGGCTCCGATGGACAACGACAAGACACGCGCCAAGTTACCTACAGTGGAACCAGCCCGGTTTGGATGGACGTGGAGTCATCTCCGGCGCGAATTTTGCATTTCGGCTGCGCCCGAAATTCGACGCGCTCGCGTCGCGCCTTCCGTTTCTCGTGTTTCTCTTCCTTCCCCGTCTCGTCAATCACACCTTCCACAACCACCGCTCGCACCTGCCCTCTCCCAAGTCCACCCAAACGGCAAGTGCAATCATGGTCACCACTACCTTGGGAAAGCGTCTCCGAAGTGCGGCAAGCACGAAACCATCAGCAATCGACGCGGGCAGGCGCATCTCACGCCAGACGAAATCGTCAACCCTCGACGCGAGTGACTCGGAAGCAGAAAACCAGAACCCCTTTGTTATACACCGCCAGAATGGCGAGGATGGATCGGATGCAGCAGAGGAGGAGCGGCCGATCAAGAAGACGCGAACGTCCCGATCGACCACTACTGTCCCGGCGAAACATGGTGCGGCGGAGTCACGCGTTGAGATTGCTCCCTTCCGCGTGTCGAAAGCAGCGGCCGTCACAGCAACCCCGAAAACTCCCAGCAGACATCGCGATGCGCTTKCGAAGAAGGTGCAGGTTACACCGCGGCATCGAGCTTTGATCACTTCACCACGGACACCACACACGCCGTCGAATGGCGCGTCGGTGTATAATCAGGCGCGTCGACTTTTCGCGCGATGCTCCAATCCCGGCAAACTTGTGGGACGAGACGAAGAGAGATTGCAACTTTCCACCTTTATCAAGACTGCGATCGAGTCAGAATCTACCGKATGTCTGTATGTTTCTGGGCCTCCGGGGACAGGCAAGAGTGCGCTGTTGGACGAGGTGATACGCGAGCACACTGAGGGGGGCAATATCCCAGTATCAGTCGTGAATTGTATGAGCGTGCGGAATGCAAAGGATCTGAGCCAGAAGCTGGAAGACGATCTAGGACTGAAAGAGGATGCAGGCTTTGAATACCTACGGACGTGCTTCGTGCGGGAGAAAGCGCAAGACGATCGGAAATACCTCGTCGTGCTGGATGAGGTGGACCAGCTGGTGGATCTGGATCTGGCGCTTCTCTACAGCTTGTTCGAATGGTCGATGGCTCCAACATCACGACTGATCCTCATTGGAATTGCCAATGCTCTGGACCTCACAGACCGCTTCCTTCCACGATTAAAGTCTCGCAACCTCAAGCCGGAACTCCTCCCTTTCATGCCGTACAGCGCCACACAAATCGCCGAAGTCGTCACGAGCAAACTGAAGAGTCTGTCCACTACAGAGTCGCAGCATGTTCCATTCTTGCAGCCCGCTGCGATCCAATTCTGCGCGAAAAAGGTCGCAGCACAAACAGGAGAWCTCCGCAAAGCGTTTGACATCTGCCGGAGAGCGATTGATCTCATCGATCACGAGACGCGAGAGAAGGATATCAAGGTACAAGACAGCCCTTCCAAGACGCCTCTCATGGAGAATGTCAATCTTGCCTCGCCTATTTCACCTCGCAAGCAGACGGTCTACTCTCTAGAAACCGCCCCGAAAGCAACAATCGCACACATGGCAAAGGTCACAGCACAAGCCTTTAGCAATGGAGCGACACAACGACTCGCTGGACTCAACCTACAACAAAAAGCTGTACTCTGTGCCTTGGCAGCCCTGGAGAAACGGAAGCGCGAGACGCAAATCATGCGCGTGATGACTGCTACTCCATCCAAATCCAACACCAGCGCACCGTCCGTAAAGCAGCTTTTTGAAGCATACAGTGGTCTTTGCAAACGAGAGAATCTCTTTCACGCACTCTCCAGCGTTGAATTCCGCGATGTTGTCTCCGGGCTGGAGACGTTGAGCTTGGTCTCTGCAGTCGATGGCAAGACTGGCAGCTTTGTCCTCCCCACGACCCCGTCTCGCACCCCGGGGAGGCCCAAGAAGGATGCCTTTGRAGGAGCTGCGATTGGAGATGAGCGGAGAGTAGCGAGTGCTGTTGGTGTGAAGGAATTGAGCGCTGTATTGGAGGGACCTGGAGGCGAGCAATTACAGCTCATGCTTGAGGGGAATGGTGTCTGAAGAGATGGAATGATTGGTGTTCTGCAGACCTTGGGCTGCATAGGGGCGTTGTGATGAGCAGGGATGTCGGTCGGTCATGGGGTTTGTCTTTAGCGATGTCTTTAGCGATGTCTTTAGCGATGGCGTTTCGGGGAGTAAAGTGCTTGTGCTTGTGGCCCGTGTTGGATACAGTGGATGGCGGAAGACTTGTAGAACAATAGAAGCGAATTGATCAAGCCTGACCTATCGAATGGAAGACTGGATTTGCGAAGGTTCCATTCATCCTTGCTGGCCAAGAAGTCCAAGACCTTGCATTGCCATCGTTTAAGCGACTCCCATTTCGGTTGCATGTTGGAGGAGGCAATGTATGTAGGGGCATGCCGAAGAGAACACTGCTGTATACCACTGCCGTTCTCATACCACCAACCCAAACAATGTTCCCCATCATCAATCACTTCACCTCGCGGCCGTGACAAGACCTTCGTCATTCCTCCACCCACGTCGTCATTCGTCTGTGAAGTTACCTCATTCGGCTTATCCGTCTCACCTCGGGTTTCGGCAGCGGGAAGCCTGCGTCTTTGCAAAAGCTTGAAGCGCCATAATCCTGCTGGATCTTTTACGAGCCGGCCACCCACCGGTCACCACTCCCCATCAAAACGCTTTCTGGTCTGCAGCTTGCTCCATGGGCGACCAGACGCGGAGAAGACGGAGGAGCCGAGAGGGACACCCTGCACGGAGCATTTTCCTCTCTCGCTCTTTCTTTCGGGGGTTCGTACTCCACACGAACCGTGCGGGAGATCCTCCTCTATCCTCCATTGGATTAGCGGGCCGAACAAGAAGGCGCAGATTGTGGACGGTAAGCGTTAAGTTAGGCGCACCGTAGAAGCCATCTCTTGTTCTCTCTCTCATACTAAACTGCTGCCTGCGACGCTGGAAAGAGGGTGGATGATAGTCGACTTCACTTCACTTTTCCTTCTTCTTTTGATTGAGCGTGCTTTGAGCGGAATTTGAAGCGAAATATCACCACAGACCATCCACGCGATATCCTAGTACCTTGAGAAAAATGGCGGGAAAGATGGCAGAAAAGACAGCAACGCGCGATTCGGCGGTGGAGAATGGCGATGGATCCTTCTCCAGCACCACCAAGACCCGACAGACCAAAGGCCAAAAAGCCAAGGCGCATTGCGGAAGATTCTGGTGGATCTATCTCATCGCCCTCGTCATTGTGGTGCTCGTGGTCGTTTTGCCAATGTTTGTTTCCCCCCCACATTCCTCACCTCACCTCACCTCACCATTCCTTCCTTCACTTCTAACAAACCACTCCCAGAATCTTCGTCGCCTACCCCAAACTCGCACGGGAGGGCGTCGCAAATTCAGAATTAGTTCCCACCCGCGAAGCCTTTCTCAACCCAGCTCCGGATTCGTTTGACTTGGAATTGGACACCATTCTCCTCTCGGATTCGAAATTCCATCCTACTTTGGATCCCTTCAATGGATCTCTCTACTTGGACGGTAGCGAGTCGCCGTTTGCATACATCAATGTCCCGGAAATCAAAGCAAAGAACGGAACCGTGGCGCATGTGGCGCAGAGAGTCCAGGTTGCCGATCAGATGCAGTTTCAAAACTACTGCATCACAGCGCTGAGCAGTGAGACGTACACGTTGAGATTGAAGGGCAAGGGAAGCTTGAAGCAGGGTTCCCTTCAATCCGTCAGTGTCAACTACGACCAGCCTGTGGAGTCGAAAGGTACGCATTCGCAGCCTCAACTCTCCCACAAAATGTATTTCAAGCTGACTTTCGATGCTTGATGACAGGTCTCAACGGCTTCAAAGGCCTAGCAATCACCTCCTTCTTCCTCCAATCCTCAGGTCTCCCCGCAGGATTCAACGCCAACGGCACAGTCCTCGTTCCCAACCCCTCCGTCTTGACCCTCGCAGTCGGCGACGCTTCCTTCAAAATCTCCGTGGACGGCACAGCCATTGCCAACGCCACCATCCCGGATCTAACTCTCACCCCTGGAAATAACACCTACCCCATCAACGTCCAGAGCGACATCATGGCCGTGACGGGAATTTTGTCGGATCCGAGATTTCAGTGTGGAATGCTACCCGTTGATATCATTGGCGTGGAGAGTATTTATGATGGAAAACTTTTGCCGTATTTCACAGCTGCTTTGAAGCAGAATTCCGTGAGGACCATGCTCGATATCGTTCCCGCGCTGGAGAAGCAGGGTTTGGGAGAGTTGGTGCAGGGGAAGGAGTGTGTCGCCTCATAGGAAATTTTGCTCCGTGATGGTGTGTCTTAGATGCGGAAGATGTGTTCGAGAAGTATCAGCATTGCATTGCTGAGAGAGAGACAGACACAGAAAGAAGTAAGCATCGAGGTTAAGCTTGCGAAAGGCCAAGGCAAAGTGGAAGGATTGTACATAATAATTTTATACCCACCATTTCCTGAATGAAGAGAAGCGGTGTACAGTTCATAACTAGGTCTTTATATTTGTGTGTTTTTTGCAGTGCGTGTGAGTGTCTAGGTGGGGAGTTGCGACGGTACCTTGCTTTTCTCATGCTCTAGCTTGCTGCTTGATGATGTCGAGGTTGGGTGGGGTGATGGAGTAGATGAGGTTGGCTTCTTCGTTGGTGTATGTTTTCGGACGTGAGGCAAGGTCATGTTGTCTACTCCCTGCCCGATTCATAACTTGATATTGTGAGGAGCATGCAAGTACTCGTGTCTATTGGAGCATTGGTGAAAGTGCATATAATGGCGTGCATTCTGACGTGTCTATCGTATGTTCTCGCAATTTGAAAAGTCAGTTTCAAACCATCCAACCATCGAAACACGCAACGTGCAGTATATTGCCATCAAATCCATGCATTTAGTTCTGCATATATAGAAAGGAAACTCGTAAAGGTATAGAGCGATATATCATTAATTCCCCACCGTCGCCATGGACATCACATCCCACTACCCAAACCCTAACCCTCCAACCCGAATCTTGAACTCGCATTCCTCAACAAAGTTATCTCATCTTGAAGGGAAATTCATCCCACCGCCCCTCGCTTCAAATCCCGGGGACATGGGCGCTTCATAAGCACCGGGAATCGGAACGGAGTCGTATACTTGCTCTCCAGGCGCTACAGCTGCGAAATGCTCCTGTCGCACTTCCCGAGGAGCCTCTGCCATTAATGGGGATCTTTGATCCACCACRACGTCGGGGGAAGGCGTTCTTGAGCGTTCACGTTCTCTTGTCGTGACAGTCACGGGTTGGAAACCCATACTTTGTATTTTGGGCGTGGCGTTGGTGACGCGGATGGGAGGAGCTTGGAGTTTGAACGGTGCGGCAGGTTCGCGGGCTTTCTGCGAGGCGTCGACGTAGCGGACATCTCCGTTGCCTTCTTCCAGAGAGGGGCCGTGGGCGTAGTATTCCGTGGTTGGTGCTCTCCAGCCTCCATCGCGAGGAGACATGGGGCCGCCGGGAGTGTTGGGTGCGGATTGCGAGCGAAGTTGTGCGAGATACAAGTCTGATCGAGCGCGATCGCGAGCAGCCATGGACTTGCGCAGTCTTCGACGGGTCCAGAAGCGATAGAAGACGATGCCGTAGACTGCGATGACGATGACTTCGACTACGATTTCGATGATTGCGCAGACCAGACTCCAGTTTTGCAGGCGGCAGATGAGCTCATAGTCGACTTCGTTCTCGAAGAGAGATTTCCTCTGGTTGTTGACGCAGGCCCATCCCCACATGTCTTTGTTGTTGCCATTTGTTCGGGAGGTCTGCAAGACGGCTGCGCCAATAGCCCACATAATGACCGTGAAGATGAAGACTCCGACCGAGAATGCTGTAAAGTAGACGGCGGTCTTTTCGGCGCGTTTGTGGCCTCCTCGCCAGTAGTTGAAGAGGATGAAGGAGCACATTGCGAGGGAGATGCAAGCTATGACGAGGAGCATGATTTGTGGCCAGGTCTGTTGGCCTTTGGCCCAAGGTGGGAGGGAATTTCTCGGAGGCAGGGCTTTGGTGGCGTTGAAGATTGCAAAGGTGGAGGCGAGCATGCCGATTACGATGAGGGAGCAGGAGAAGGAGACGCCGCGGAGGAGGAACTTTGCCACGCGGACGCGGGTTTTGATTTTCTACAACCATACTGTCAGTGGGAGTGAGAGGAGAGGATTATTCCGACTGTGCCTACCAGATCTTTGACTTGCTCCTTGTCGGTATGCTGTTCGTGCTTCTCCAGAGCATGTTCTTCCCGGAATGTCGGACTGAGCATGGCTTCGAGATTCTTGGGCGGTGCTCCTGGAGTCTTCATGGCACTCTTCAATGCAGTCTTGGGGAAGGAAACCGACTTTGCAGTGAGCGGAGGTTCGTAATCGGTATTGGGCATCTCGACAGATTCATGCTTGTTGACGTAGCCGAAGCCAACATCCGAGACCTGGGGTTGCGCCATGTACGATCTCGAAGCTGGTTGCGACGTGAAATTGGCCTTTCCCGTGGTACTTGGCTCGATGGGGGAGTTTACAGCAGTGGCCTCTGCGAAACGTGCAGCGCGAGGAGACTTCAACGAAGGCGTTGTGACGATGGATAATGCTCGGGTTCGTGGATTGGGTGGAGTGGTGGTGGATGTTGATGTTGATGATGTCGAGTCGTCTGAGGCTGACCGTGCCCGCACGGCGTACTGTATTTTTGGTTTGTGACTATCTGACATGCTGTTGTCAGACGATGGCGTAGGGATATCCAGGATAGCGTCACACCAGACGAGCAAGATGAAAGGGAATAGAGGCCAGCTCTGGGATCGCGGACGAAAAGCAGAGAAGGATGGATGGATGGATGGATGAGATGTCAGAGACCAGCTGAGAAGGGAAGAAGTAGAGGGCGGCGAGTGGATATGCAACCCAACCAACAACCCTCAAGCAACATGCAGACGCAGATGCCGCTCCAGATGGGCGCCTCGCACGGACGCTGATCCCTCCCAGGCCCAGAGTGCCGGGCGGCTGCGGGATGTGTGTGGTGCGGTGTACTGTACATAGTCGGGAAGGAGGGATGATGTGTGCAAGACTCACCAAGATAGACGTGGCGGAAGTCGTCTGGGTGGTCTGATAGGTCGACCTTGGAGGAGCCACTACTGTCGCTGGAAATAGACGGGCCAAGCTGGCACGGGAGGAGTGGGAGTGGGAGGTGTACTGTAAGGTAACGTCTTTGTCGCGCAAGATGCCTGCTCGTCCACCGCCGTACAAAGTATCTCTCGTCAACCAGCGAGGACAGCACCGAAAATTGCCAGACAGACTGATGGAAAGACAGACAAACAGACGGATGGAAGAAAAGTGCAGAACAACCGTGGCGGAATCTCCTTCAATCCCAGACAGAACCTGCGTGTGGCCATCCATCTCTGCTGTTTACGCGCCGGGCGGCATCATTGGTGTGAGATGTGGTCGAGGCACATGCAGATGCGGAGAAGGTGCGATGGTGCATGATTCCCTCTCAGCCAATCATCTCGCCAAGACCGGTCTCGAAGCGCTTGCTGGGATTGTGGGAGTGGACATGTGCCGGGCGTGTCAAACCTTGTTCAACGACCAACCCAACTTTCTTCTTCAAGTTCCTTGCCTCGACCGACGGAATTCACGTGGGCGGGATGGTCACGGGCCCCGGGGAGCTGCACACTTGCTATAGATATACATGCATGTCTTGCAATGGACGACATGATGCCGGAGCTGGAGCCGCTTCCATCCGTATCCATAAGCCGACATCAGCCCGCTTCCTTCTCGACATGCTGTGTGATGTGGAATGATTTGAAGATGATTCATCACTCTCCATCACCAACCATGATGATGTGAGTCTTCACCCTGAAGACGATAGGTACGCACATGTCGTTCATCCGCAAAGGAACCAGCTCTCAGACCGAGCCTCTATCCGGGTGGAAGTCATGTCTATCCATTGCGACATCTCGATGATATTGAATGCAAATTTCCCACCAATCTGGAACGATTCTGCATATAGCGTCCTTGAACATCATTCGTGCTTTTCAGTCTTCGAGGATCATACCAGAAAGACATGGACATGGTCTCACCTCTAAACAAAGGATTCTCAGGCGACCGATACAATGTCTCTTGTTCTTCTTTCTTCCCTCATCATCTTTGTTCCCATCCTTCAAGCAAGTATAATGCCATTCTTCTCTTCCTCCATCCCTTCTCTTCCTTCAAACCCATACCCGGCCAAGATTTCTTTGTCATCCTATCATCTAAACCTCTATCCGGTGCAGCAGGACTCCACCAATAACAAACCCTTCAAATCAGAACAGAATCGCCGATATCCGTGAGTATGAACTCCTTCAACATCTACCAGAACCCCTACGATCAACACGATGCACAAGATGCCGCCGAGCAGCACTACCTGAATCGAGCTAATCGCAATCGCAGTCGTAGAAGGGAGGAAGAACAAGCACGCCACACCCAGGCTCCGCAGGTCGGAACCATGAACCAAGCAGCAGGAGCTCAACAATCTACCTCCAGACTCGTGCGGACGAACTCATCCCACCAGCCAAATCACACTTCAAGTCAGCGGAGAACACAACTCCCTCAAACAACATACTCTCCTTTCCCTCAACCCAAACCCCTGACAAGGAAGCCAGTATCAAAGGAGCGGACAGATTCCCCAAACAGCGTCTTGAGTTTCGCATCCAACGTCCCCCCTCCTCAGGTCACTCATGGTAGATCCCGTCCCTTTGACACCACGACTGAAAAACCAACCACTTCCTCCCGCACTAACATTCCCTCCCGCCCTCACACTCCCACCCGTCCCATCACTCCCTCCCGCCCTTCCTCTCCTAGCGGCTCATCCATCTTCCGGCACTTTAGCCCCAGTCGCCGCGGTAGCAACGCCTCAACATCCTCTCAACGCCCTCCATCCCGTCGAGGTAGCATCTCCGACTCCGTCCGTCGCGTCTCCGCCGATTTGAGAAAAGGCCTCGACATCATCCAAATGSACGCTCTAGAGCGGGAGAAATGGAAAGTCGCCGAGAAAGCACGCATGCATGCCGAGATTGAAGAACAAAGACGTCTGGATCCGAGTCTGAGACCTGCCTATCAACAAGAATATCTCGATTGGAAAGCCACACAAACTTCCAACAACCTCTCCCCTAACCTCACCGAACACGAGAGAATGATTGCCCTGGATTCCGCTCTGCGGCCGTCAGCTCCGGTACCCCTCAAAAAGGAAGCACAGCGGGACCGAGACGCTCAAGCTCCGCGCACAGCAGGTGAGGAAATCGCCCTTTTGATTGCCAAGAGTTTGGACCCTTTGAGGACTAAGAGACAGGGAAGTGCGGATAGTAGTGGCATGGATTTCGCTGACTGTGGGGCTCCTGTAGATGTCATGGAGAGTTGTCGGAGGTGTGGTAGGCCTGTGGGAGGGAGTGAGGAGGAAGGCTTGTTTCTTACTGGAGGGTTTTGTCCGAGGTGTCATCGGTTGAGGGTTAAAGGTCAGTGAGAGAAAAGTCCCGTCTTGTGTGTTGCCTTGCGATTTTAGCGTTGTGTTTTTTGGGGGGATTTAGCGGTTCTTGTGCGCAATTTTCGGCGACCTTTTTTCCTTCTTCATTGCGGGATGATTCCTTTGCGGCTGGTCCGTTACGGTAAGTTGGAGGTAAGTTCAATCACATTCACTCATGCCAATCCACTCAAATCTTGCTTGTTCCTTCTCATTCTCCAATACGACTCATCAACTCCTTTTATCCAATCTCCATTTTCACTTTATGCACCAACCAAACTAACCCACGAAAAAAGAATTCTGGGACACACCCTCCCCAACCCCCYCCTCCTCCTCGCCAAAAACAARACCAACATCCCTCTACTCCACCACCYCCCACCGCAGAATCTCCATTAATGATGAAGAAGGGGAAGAATTCATGAAACTTCCCCGTTCCAGCACCACAAACAACAAGAAACGCATCCTTCGAATCCGTCGAACCATTTACGAAGATCCTGGAAATCCCTTTCTTCACAATTCCAGGATTTCAAGCGACAACAACAATATCATCACCACTACTAATAGAAACAAAATTGATTCCTCTCCCTCTTCCCTCTCCTCGGAAGAAGAATGCAACGATGCTCCCCCTCCAGGATTCTGGGGCGTGAACGATATCCCTTCTTCTTCCCCTGACTTTCTTGGAGGAAGAGGAGTCGGTAAATATTCCTCGAAGAAAATTGAAGACGAGAGGATTTTAGGAATCAGAACTTTCGAAGAGGAGGAAAGTGAGGAAGAGGAGGTGGATGCGAGGGATTCTCCTCTTCAAGCTCCCACGCCCCAGAGGGTTGGTACGCCGGGATTGATAAGGAGGGATCTGAGTTTTTGTGATGGTGGTGGTGGTGACGATGAGGCGGATGGTTGGTTGGAGGGGGTGGGGAGGGGGAGGTTGTGTGGTGATGGTGATGTGGGAGAAAGGGATGGGGAGGGGAATGGAGGGAGGGAGTATTATGGTTTTTATGAGGGTGTTTTGGAGGAGTATCATCGTTTGAGTCGGGGGAGAATATCTGATTTGATTTGAATCTTGACTGAAGATCACGACTAATGAAACTAATTATCTGATTGATTGTCTCGAGAGGGTGCCTGTGTCTTGGTAGATATGTCTATCTACATTCCTCATTGAGAGGCGGGGTGAGATATCATGTGGTGTATAATAGATGAGAGAAGTTATTTTGAAGAATGGAAAGTAGTGGCGGTATCAATGTCCAACATGAAGGGTAAGAAAATAGGAGAGGGAACTCATTTTAAACCAGTAATAATGGCTATAGATAGATAGCTATGACTACCTTATTTCCTTCCAATCCAAATCCCCCTCCGAGGTCTCCCTCCAAAAAGATGCGAAATTACAAAAGAGAAAAAACCGCCTCCTTTCCGACTCCCAATCATAGCATAATAGCTCCATTATCATTTCATATGCCATACCTTCAAAGACTAATCAACTACTATAAAGCAAAAGCAAATCCTCCGACAAACACGGCAACCATCATAATCATCGCAACACCAGCAGTCGTGCTCGAAGCGGCAGCACCTTCATATGGAGCGGGKGTCACATTGGTGGTGTTGCCATAGTCGACACCGGGAATATCCTTTCCGGAAGATTCGGCGGGACGACCTGGTCCCGCTGGGGTGGTGCTGTATGCGGGAGGCGCGCTTCCACCTGCAGAACCAGTGGGAGCTGGGTTGCCGGTGGTGGGGGCTTTGGAAGGTGCAGCGCCCGTGGGGTTCTGGATTTGTCCATCTGAGATCTGCTGGACGGGTTTTCCTGTGGGGTTTTGGATTTGTCCGTCGGAGATTTGTTGGACGGKGTTGCCTCCTGTCGCCGGGGTGGTGGTGGTTGCTGGAGCGGGCTTCTTGGTAGGGATGACGGTTGTTCCCTCGTTGGCGTCGCAATCACATGGCTCGGTGATGGTTACGGGGATGGTGGAGGTCTTGTCCAAATCGGAATGGCAGACGGTGCAGTCCTTGACTGTTACCGTGTAGCCTTGGGGAATGTGCGATGGGCCAGGCGTCCAGGTGGGTTCGGGCTCATCGCAGCTCTCCGTCACGGTGTATGTTACTGGCACGGTTCCTGTGGGACACAAAGAAAGGTAGGTGGTGGTGTAGGTTGTGACGTGGCCTGGGAGTTTGGAAGTTGGGGTTGCGGAGGCGGAGGCTTCGCATTCGGGACAGTAGGTTACGGTGATGCCGTTGGTGACTGTGATCATTGTCTCGAGGGAGGAGGACTCGCAGTAGTCGTAGGTTACAGTCGTGTAGGAGACGGGAAGATCGGATGCTGCGGGCGCAGCGCTGATGCTTGCACCCGTGGATGAAGCGCTTGAAGTTGCGGGACCGGTGTATGCCGGGGGAGCTTGTGCGTAAGCCCCAGAGGCGGCCATGGCAGCGGCTGCTGCTCCGTGTCGGAACTTCATCTTGATTCGAAAGTTGCGAGTGGTGTTGAGATAAACTGTCTTGAGCGAGTGGCGTGAAGAGGAGAAGCGTGAAAGACAGTGGATCAGGGAGAGGGTACTTTGGCAGGATCGAACGAATGGAGATCTACCGAAAGCAGCGATTATGAACAAGAGGACGAAACCATCTGGTGCGTGGAGGTATGAGCCTTATAGGGGAGGGTGCCTGTTCGCGGCGTGTTGTGTTGATCTGGAATGCATTCCTGGGAGAGATTGTCGGCTTGAGCACCGTGGCATTCCTCGACCCGGGTAAAAAGCACCCACACGGGATAGCTCGGATGGACTAGGGGAAGTGTAATCATATGCCAGATGAAGACTTACCATTCAATGAGAGGCTTGCACGATGAACGATGCTTAAGCGCGCGAGTGTCGCGTCTGGCAATTCCGCTGCAATATCATCACGTTAAGGTCATTGTAGTTTGAGAAGAGCAGACTCTCAATGGTAGAGGTGCCTCACAGAAACACGAGAGAAGTTACGACCTAATCTACATTTGCCGGCAGCCGAAGCGTATTGACAGGCAAAGGGGTCAGCGGGAGCAGCGATCTATCGACTGGGTTTGCCGACGAACATCAAGGCCCAGGCTTTCGCACGTGCTTCCAGAGGAGTGGAGCCAGATGTCGAATAAGTTTATTCACCCTGCAGAATGGGCGGAAAAGATGGCGGCTGGGTAGCAGTCGCATTCTCTGGTCTGGGTGGAAGTGGTGGGATTCAATTCCGTGCCGCGATAGAGGATTGTTTACATTCTTCAACAGCCGCCGGATGGATTTCGACTAGCGCCTGTTTCTCCATTTCGACGCGTGAAGACTCACTCACTCGGTAATTTCGATGGTGAGAGCATCATACACAGTCTGTAGGTTAGGCGCCCAGTAAAACAAGGCGTCTTTTCCACCGGCGTGTTGGAAGGACGTCAAAGGAGGCGGTATGAAGTCCAACGGTTTGAAGACATCTGCAAACGCCTGCGCATACTCGGACTCGGATACGGGACAGATCCAGATTCCCAGATCAGCAGCACACAGACTGTCAAAGTCGGTGGAGGAGTCGCCAACATAGACAAGGTAAGGTGCATCACTTCCACGCGCTCCTTGGGAGGGTGGTAGATGGCGCAGCTTGTCACGGCTGGTACGAATGTCAAGATCCGGACCGCGACAGACACGACCGGAACTTCCCAACGGCGAGCCCAAGCCCTCGATCTCATTGGCATGAATGAGCATGTCATTGATGAGATGACACAGCTTGTCCTTTTCAGGATGATGAAGAGTGGTGGCGGCTTGCCATATAGCACGTCGGATGGCCGTCTCGCTCCAGTTGACGCTGAGGATACTCACACGGCTGGGAGAAGATGCGCCATTTGTTACATCATAGTCGGGAAGGAAGAGCTCCATCAGCTTCTCCCAGCCATTCCTCAGCTCCAGGCTGCCATTCTCCCACGATTCCGCCACGGTCGCGTTGACATGTTGATGAGTAACTCCACGGAAGAAGGCAGCATCTTGCACTCGGGTGGCACTGCGCTCCTCCAACCACCTTCGAGAGGCAAGCCAGTTGCTGTATTCTTGGCGGTCATACTTGTTCCAGGGATAGGGCTGCTTCTTGAACGTAGCACAGTCTTGGATGTAGGCGTCGGCGATTTCCTCCCACGTAGTTGTTGGAGATTCGGGCAGTTTGCCCAGCAGAGCCATGGTGTCTTTGACGGTGAGCGTTCCGTCATAGTCGAGGATGAGATGTGTGGCCTGGCGGAGTCTCGATGAAGACATGGTGTGAATAGCACGTGAAGATGTGTGGCGAAGAGGGAAGAATATCACGTGCGTGAATCATCATCCTCTCATCGCTGAATCATGCTCGCCGGGCCATGTCATTTTATGTTGGTTTCAGTCCCTGTCCGAGATGTCCGATATGTTTTCGATCTGTGAAGATGTAAATCGGCGGCGTCGGCAGTGGGGATAAGTCGAGCGTCGAGCCTCGGGAATAATCGTGGAATCATGGGGATGCAGCCAATCAGCGTCGTGCCTTTCTCATCAATGATCACTCGTTTGCCTCGCTCGCCCGTTCCTTTTGTCGTTGGGGTTTGCCTTCGAGAAGAACAACGCTTCACGACCACTCTCCCCTCTACACAACAAATCACACACCATCCAGTATGGCTCTACGACTCGCAACACGGCGCTTCACGCCGCTCGTCTTCCGCCGCGGCATGGCGACGCCGACGACGACCAACGAGCTCACCAACGCCGCGGGATCCACCACCGCCGCGGCCACGCCCATTCCCGCCAGCAAGACGACCCCCGCGCAGGAGCCCGCCATGGACGCCGAAGCCAAGACCAAGACCTTCCAGATCTACCGGTGGAATCCTGACCAGCCGGCGGAGAAGCCGCGCATGCAGTCCTACACCCTCGATCTGAACAAGACGGGCCCCATGATGCTCGACGCGCTGATTCGCATCAAGAACGAGGTCGACCCGACGTTGACCTTCCGCCGGAGTTGTCGCGAGGGAATCTGTGGCAGCTGTGCCATGAACATTGACGGCGTCAACACTTTGGCTTGCTTGTGTACGTCTTAGTCCTCAGACAATGATCTACCGAGGGTGTTGCAGTATGCTGATGATATGATGGAACAGGCCGCATCCCCACCGACACGGCCAAGGAATCCCGTATCTACCCCCTCCCTCACACCTACGTCGTCAAGGACCTCGTTCCCGATATGACGCAGTTCTACAAGCAGTACAAGTCCATCAAGCCATACCTGCAGAGAGACACCGCTCCACCAGATGTACGTTCTTGTCTTGATATCCCCCTCCTCGCATTTTCCTTACTAATCCTCTATCATCCAGGGCAAGGAGAACCGACAGTCGGTCGCCGACCGCAAGAAGTTGGACGGCCTCTACGAGTGCATTCTCTGTGCCTGCTGCAGCACATCATGCCCTTCATACTGGTGGAACAGCGAGGAGTACCTCGGACCCGCCGTCCTTCTCCAATCATACCGATGGATCAACGATTCCCGTGACGAGCGCACCGAGCAGCGCAAGGATGCCCTCAACAACAGCATGAGCTTGTACCGATGCCACACCATTCTCAACTGCAGCAGAACGTGCCCCAAGGGCTTGAACCCGGCATTGGCAATTGCTGAGATCAAGAAGAGCATGGCTTTCACGTAAGAGGATGTAAAGAGGGCTGGAGATGGAGGATGAGAATAAGGGTGGGAGCATCAGTCAGCGACTACAAGCGAGGATATACTGCACCAGGAGAGGGAGTTTTGTGTGTWCATAAGTTTCACCTGCAATGTTCAAAAAGACGCTCCAAAAATTGGACCAACACACGCAACAATCCTCCATTGCATCATTCAGCCAATCTGGCAGGTTTTACGCGGACAATGCGCTGCGCATAGACGGCAAGTTTATCCGATCATGTGGATGAGTGAACGTGGAGCTCAAATAATAGGTACTCACCAAACACCATACAGTGCGAAGTCACACGTCGCCTTGACGCAACCAGCCAGCGATCGCCAGCCTCTCCAATCAACATCCCACATCGGACAGAAAGATTCATATCAGGCCGTGAATTCATAATCGCTCTTATCCTCTCCTTCTACCCTTGTCATCTTTCCCCGCCATCATCTCGTGCTCCTCTCTCAACTTCTCCACACTGTACTCCTCGAACCCGATATTCCACCCCATTTCCGCTTTCCTTTCCCACTCTTTCGTCTCAGGAGGACCTTCTCTCCCAAGATGCTGCAACACACTCGGCACAATACTCCACTGCACCAATCCATTCTCCTCTGCATACTCGCCTACCAGTTGTCGCACTGATCCAATCCTCTTGCCCTCGGAGAAGTATTGGAGGAGATTTCCTGCTTGATGGCGTGGATACACCGTTGTTCTTCCCTCGGGAAACCGCATATTGGGTGGTTGCATGAGGCCTGGATGCAATGGGTGGGTTGTTGTTTGTCCCGCTGCCAAGTATAGAGTTATCAAGAACGGGGTTACGATACAACAGAGCCAGATTCCGGAGAGGAGGGTGATGTTTCGACCGATTCTACTTTTTGGGGAGAGCTTTTGGAGGGTGTAGAGGGTAGTTGCTAGGAAGGTTACTAGGAAGAGGGAGGAGAATGCTTGGTGGGTTGTGGAGGTGGGGTTAGAGAGGAGGGAGAGTTCGGTGTCGAAGAGGGTGAGGGAGAGGACTGTTTTGTCTCAACGCATTAGTGTCTATCCGTCGCGTTGTCTCTTTCGTTACATGGCAAAGAGGGCAACTTACAGTCTTGATCATCATCCAACGCGGCCTTCTCCTCTGCGCTCTCTAATGCCGAGAGGGAACGATGTAGCCAACCATCCATGGCTAATACATCGTCTTCCACTATGGCAATGTACTCCGCTCCGCTTTCATGGCATTCCCGCAACAGCACCGCGAAATCTAAAACTTGCTTCTCGTCTTGCACTCCTTCTTCTTCCCCGCGAATTTCAGCACTCTTCGTCAAATCCACTATTTTCAGCAGTTCTTTTTCGGAAAGCGTTTCGTTGTAAAAGAGGATGGAGTCGACTGTATGTTTCAACCAGGGTTCTCTCACAGCAGGGTGCAGTTCGGGCTCTAATTGTGCGATTAGGACTTTTAATTCTAGTCCGTCTCGCTCATCCTTGTTCAGGCCTTGCAATAGAGATCCAATTGTTGTTTTCAAAGATCTCGCTCTCTCGTGGGTTTGCGAGGGAATGGCGATGCAAGTCTGAGGAGCAACGCCTTTTGTTCGGGAGGATGTCTTTTCGTGAAGCCATGCGGATTTGATCAAGGCGTTTGCCTGTTTGCTTCGGGTGAGGGAGTAGGATGGTGTGTATGCGGAGGTGGGATTGAAGAAGTAGGATGTTGGATCTCGAGCGGAGGTCCTCGAGATCCAGAGGATGAGAGGGGAGTAGAAGGTGCAGAAGAAGAGGATGTGTTTGAGAGATGTGCAGAGTCGTTGGCAGGAAGCACTACGGGGCGGTTTGTGCATCATCATCATCATCATCACATATGAGTGACGAGTGAAGAGGAAGAGGGGAGAGGGAGAGAAACAATCATCTTACAGAATGAGAGAGCGGCAAGTCAGCTACACCACCTCCCCTCCCTGTCAGATTTCCCATTATTATCATTAGGGTTCCATTGTTTGTTACGAAACTATCCTTGTCTCACCCTCCGAGGAGGTGGAGGAAGGATTCATGCCAAGTCATGGCGCAGCTGTGTCGGCAAAGAGTTGCCGGCGAGAGACTTGGCATACATGRGCTGTGAAGCATGCACGCATGGGACGATTGGTTTGGTCGTGTCTGATGAAAGCGGGGCTTGTCATGACAGATTGATGATGTCGGGTGTTAGGAGTACGAGAGGGGGGTTGGAAAAGAATGTGATGTTTCCATGAGATGGGGTGTACCTATTTATAGGAGTCTTGCATAAGCGGCATAAAAGCACTTCATAAAGTCGACCAAGTCACGGGCATTATTCGGACGCGTCTCGTGCACGAGACAACAACACCTCGTGCCACGCTCCCACATCTCATCATTCCCAGTATCGGCGAGAAAACATGACGCTTGAAGATGCGGATCTTGAGCACAGAATATCACTGACCGCTCATCAACCCCGACACATCATCAATGGGGTCATTTGTATCAGCGAGCCGGCAAAAGCTCCAACAACCTTTCACCGCKCATCGACTGTGTCTACGCTGGGAGACATGGATGCGCTCCCGCTTGAGCTACTCCACGCCGTATTCGCAATGCTGGATTTCGCAACACTTGCTGGCATGACCAGAACCTGCTCCCGGGGCATGGAGGTCGTGAAGAGTTTGCCAGAGTATCGTGATGTCACGCGGTATGCTCCCGTGGCACTCACTGCTCTCGGGAGGACGAGGCTTCTTCGTCACCATTCTTCAGCCACGATCTATGCTGCCTTGCTGTCTGCGAGATGCGTAACATGTCACCAATTCGGTCCTTTTTTGTTTCTTCCCACCTGCCAACGTTGTTGCTACCTCTGTCCGTGGAAGAATCAGAGCCTGTGGCTTGTTACTCCGTCAACAGCCAGGAAATGCTTTGGGTTGTCCGCAGCCAGCATAAAGGCATTGCCGCTTCTACGCAGCATACCCGGAAAATAYCACGTCAAGTACAGCATCTCCCGCCAGCGCTCAGTCGGACTTGTATGCGCTGGAACTGCTAAACGGCTTGCTTTGATCATGGGCGGGACTGAAGAGCAGATGAGACAAAATCTGGAGCTTGAACGCGCAGCAAATCGTCTTTCTGACAAGCAATACTATCAACTACGCCACCTTCTGAGAGCTCCGCTGATGTCACCCGGCCAGAAGTTCCACCTGCAGCCAATGGAATCGAATGCCGGAAACGATGCATATTGTGGCATGGCATCGCTGCCATTCCCTTACTTGACTCCCGATAAAAGGACTGAAGGCGGACTATGGTGCTTAGGCTGCGAATACGTCAGGAGGACGTGGCACCCTAACAGCCCGATTCCAGAACACCTCTTACATCTGTTACTGCCTGGCCGTCGGGCGGACGATGTGGTGAATATAATGCAAGACATTGCGAGGTCAAGGGCCGAATTTGCAAGGCATATCGACCAATGTCCCGGAGCAAAGGAATTGATTTATTCCGCCACAAAACACGGAAGCTGAGATTCTCACTGAAAAACGAGAGGGCCTGAGATTGGTAGATTGCAGGTACGTAGCCAGTGCCAATTCTGAAAAGGACATGCAAGAATTTTTGCGATGCCAAGACTTGCTTAAAGAGCGTAGGATACCTCGTTCCTGAGCCACACGTCCGCGTTATTCGGTGGTGGCTTTAGACTCTTTAGGCATGTGCTTGGCGCAATAGTTGCGCGAGGTGACATCTTGCACCTGTGTCAATTCGCATTGCAGATTCGATTGCTGATCGTATAGGCGGTCGCACTGCCTGATTACCAGACCTGTCGATATAAAAATTCTTCATCGAGGCAAAACACCCTCGGTCAACTTAATGACGTTCTGTGGCCTCGCTCTCTGCAGAATAGCCTACTCTGGAGCTGCTAGAATCTTGACTACTAGCARAGCGGTCCGTTACACAATGGAGAGGGCAGTTCAGGGCGTTGTTCTGTTGATGATTTCCTCATATCGACAGCTCTGCTGATTACACCCTTGATCTTACATCCGCATTGATACTTGTGGTACCCTTGAGTGCACATATTAGCCGAGGGAAAATGCTCAGACAGACTGACCACTGTTGATATCAGTATCTGCAGATGTGCCAGGTGCTCTTCATTTCTTATACCGACTTTCAAGTTTTAGATCGGTTGCGAGGAAAGTTGTATGAGGGGAGTACTGAATGAGGGTATCTGGGTTTAAATATGAGGGATAACGCACTTGTATGATCCAGAGCTGTCGATATGAGGATTATTCATCAGGACAAGGCATCCTCAGTTATGTCCATTATGTCCTAAGGCCTTGCTCTCTACAGACTCGACGATTCGAAGCCTGTTAGAATCCCTAACACTAGCAGAGTGGCCGTTAATCAATCGAGAGAGCAGTTCAGGGCGCCGATCTTGTTGATGATTTCTCATATCGACAGCTCTGCTTCTATCTAGCTAAGCGCTGTCTTTACGACCCGCCTGCAAGTCTACGGCACAGGAATTACATTCCGGCGCTTAGATACTCCCTTCCCACCAGGACAGTTTTCCACAATCAGCAAACTGAAGACTTCCTTGCCGCCGGCCTTCGCCGCAAGTACGCCGACATCTCACACTCACGCAATATGTGGCCGGAGCAGTTTTATTGGCGCCATGCATGCATGCATGTGAAACGCCTTCCTTTGACTGGTCTGTGCATCTTTCCCAAATTCCGCTCTATCCCCTGAATCTCTATTCGTTCTTGTTGACCACGACCTCTCGACACACATCAGTCCTTCATAATGTGATCCATCGAAGTACTCAACCAGCTCATCGACGACGAAGAAGGTGTTTACCGCATTCGCCACGGAGGCAAAGTCGGATATATAACCATCGCCGCGGATGTGTTCGACGAAGACACAATGTGTCGGCCGTATCTCTTGATCCCGAATCTCCCTGAACTGCCAAATGAAGACTGGACCAGAATGAATATCACATGGCTCAATCCAAGAAATGCTTTGCGAATCATCACAACGAATGATCCACTTCCAGAAGTCGAGACACTCTGGCACCCTCATCGTATCGATGTCCTCTCTCTCTGGAGCAAACGAAACGGCATCGATCGAATGTGCATGAAGTCATCTACAAAGGTCGACCAGCCATTACGAAAATTGCTGCATTCGATTGGCAGATTCCTTCCATGGAGAGGGAGACGTGGGCGTACATGGTGCTTGATCAGCAACAACAGCTCCATGAACCCAAGATTACTCCTCAAGTCTTGGGTCACTTGACGGAGTGTGGAAGGGTCATTGGACTTTTGTTTGAGAAGTTGGATGGACGCTTTGCTTCAATATCGGATCTGCCGAAATGCACCGAGGCACTCAAGAGACTCCATCAGATCGGTCTGACGCATGGAGATGTCAATCGATATAACTTCATCATGAATGACCGGGAAGATCGGATGCAGATGGTTGATTTCGAACATGCATCTGCATTCGAAGAAGTTGCGGCCAAGGAGGAGCTCGACTCTTTGGAACGGGAACTGAGCGAGGAGACTGGAAGAGGTGGACCTGCAATCTTGACATGAATACTAATCGACTTGTGTTGAATACCTGAGTAAGGATCATTCGCACTTTGAACAGCCCTGCCTGGCTCGCTCGGCTCGCTATATACTGCATCTTCCTGCCAGAGAACGTGAGTGTTCGTKCATCTTCCTGCTCAGAGAATGTGGGTTGTTGTGCAGTGAATCAGCGATCCCAATTCAGCACCGCCGCCATTGGTCTCAACCGAATACCTTGATTGATTCCCATACAACAAAAATGCCACAAAAGCACACACCGGCCACCAAGCCGAGCAGCGCTTCAAGAACTTGCGAGCAGCTCACCCCATTCTCAGTCAAATCCCTCCACCAGTCATCGCCAGACCGCTGCATGCGAACGAAGAACTCCAAGTAATGATAACTGAAAAGCGCCAGGCATGCCAGGTATGCCGACATATTCATCCAATTGATTCCTCTCCACCCAATACCTCTCCAATCTCCGCACCCAATCTCAAACAACATGACCATCACACACATTGCCGTGCCAGCACATCCCAGCGCCATGCCTCCTTTTACCAGAAGATAGATCCAGCGATCGCAGCCATGGAAGAGGGTTCCCCGTTTAGCGATCGAAACGAAGAAAAGCCGTGTCCGACAATAAGGGCAGGTGATCTGGAGCGTCGCCGCCCGACGATCCAGGCAGGGAAGGCAACATTTGTGTCTGCAGGGGAATTGAACGAGGGCTCGGTCGGTCTGGCGGCAGACGCAGCACTTTAGTCCTCTTGGTGGGCGGTTGACGAAGGGTAAACTTCGTCTGAAATCCAGGTAGATCGGAAGATTGAGAGCTGCGAAGTCTCCTGGAGAACAGGCGAAGAATGTGTATCCGACGGCAATTCCCAGAGTGATGAGAGGAAGACCAAGAAATTGCAGCCTGAAGCATGTAAGGAATATACCGATCAAAGGTCCCTTATGGTATTCTTGAAGCCGGGATCTGGTGTACAAGACGAGGAAGCATAGCACCATTCCCGTGATGGCTCCCACGAATCGGATGACATGATCGGTATGAGGATCGCTCGCTTGCCGCGAAGATGCGTTGGGAAATGGAGTCATGATGGCTGTATGATCTGCTGTCGACGTGAAGGGGAATGTCAAAGACGTGGAGTATTGGTAAAATGAAAGCTGGATGTCCAAGTTAAATGCAGCTGGAGGGAAGTACCGGTTTGATTTGATCCTGGCTCTTGCAAAGGTCGCTGGAGCCTGCCCCTTCGAAACTTGTCGAAGAGAAGGCACGACAAGCATGCGGCAACCACCACTAGCGCCAGAGCTGTCGATATGAGGAATCGTCGACAAGAGTACCGCCCTGAACTGCTCTCTCGATTGATTAGCGGGCCACTCTGCTAGTAACAAGGATTCTAGTAGGCCCAGAATCGTCGAGCCCGCAGAGAGCACGAGATCCTAAGAAATCCTACAATCGAATCTACTCTTATCCTCGGAATCCTCCATCCACACTATAAGACATTACTAACACTTCGTATCGACGCCGCTCTTAACTGCTCTCTCGATTAAGTAACGGGGAACTCTGCTAGTAGTAAGAATTCTAGCTAGCCTAGAACCGTCGAGTCTATAGAGAGCACGAGATCCTGAGAAATCCTAGGATCAAATCCACTCTCATCCTCAGAATCCTTCACACTAACAGACATAACATCCACTCTTATCATCGAAGTTGTCTTGTCCCAATGAATAATCCTCATAATGACTGCTCTGACCGGCGCAGGGTGATGACGAGGAAGACGAAGATCATGTTTGTGCGTCCAAAACAAAAGGCCAAAGCAACACGCAAGTGGACCAAATTGCTGTACAGCGACCTTGCAGAACAATGGTCCTGTTCCCCCAAACTTCTTAGAACGACTGCGTGACATGATCAGCAGAGCTGTCGATATGAGAAATTATCGACAAGACTAGCGCCTTAAAATGCTCTCTCGATTAATTGACGGGCTACTCTACTAGTAGTTAGCAATCTAGCAGGCCTAAAATCGTCGATTCTATAGAGAGCGATGCGTTAGGTTATAGCGGGAATAAATGAGGATGTCTTGTCCCAATAAATAATCCTCATATCGACAGCTCTAATGATCAGCGGGCTTGATCGGGTCTACGACCTCCGTGCTCTTCTACGATATATCCCAGCCAACTACTATTTGAAGATGCGTTCCGATCATTAAGAGCCTCTTGTGGAAACGCTCCCCAGGCGGCTTGACACCAGCTCTTCATAGTTTGGCTGATATCAGGTGATATGCATTAATCCGTTGGAATCGCCATTGAATCTCATGTGAAATACCCTCTCGTGGACCACAATATGGCCCAAGAAGCAAAAGTTCCAGATGCCATTGCAAAGACTGCCATCTTAAGATCCAGAGGTGTCCTTTTCGCTGCCGAGAAGATCATTCTCCACCAGCCATCCCCATGCTCCCACATGAGAGTTCCATAAAACCATAGCATGGGCGTGAGAACACACTGCGATCCAAAGCGTATAGCTACACCTGTCCAGTCTGAATCTCGATAGTCTTGGAATCCAACGAAGGAGAGGAGAATGATGTTCGTCACCATGCTTGCCACTGAGCCTCGGGTGAGAGCATAGATGATCTCATCGTTTGCGTTGAAGAGTGGTGTCCGGCAGGCAGGACATGTTGTTTGATAGCCTGCTGCCATGAGGTCTAGACAGCCCGTGCAGCATTCGTGGTTGCAGGGGAGGAGAGCCAGAGGGTTCTCCTTGTCGTAGCAGACCATACAATCCTTGTCGTTGGCTTCGACGATGACAAGCCTCTGTCTGAATTTCGAATATTTTGGCAGATTCGAGGCCGACCAGGAGCCGGGAATGCAAGTGAACACGGTATATGCTATTGCAAGCCCTAGAGCTAGAAGAGGTTGCTTCACATAATGCATGTTCAAACACAAGAGGCTGACATTTAGGTCCGCGAATCGATGAGTCCAAGATCTACTGCTCCAGAAAGTTAAGGCGATGCTTAGAACTAGGATTGTGAGTCCTTGCATATGTGGGATCAAGTCTGCGCCAGGAGGTTGTCTTGGGGTGACTTTGAATGTTATAGGCAGAGGTCGATTTTGAGGTCTGGCCGTCGCCCACTCCATCGTGACTCTTCCCTTGGCTGTTATTAGGAATCACTGGGCAATGGGTTGGTGAATCTGGAGGAGGCGGAAGATGTTTGACTTTGAGAAAGAGCGAAGAGCATGCGAATAGAGACTGCGCGCTCGAAATGAAGGATGAAGGTAAGAAGGTAAACGATCGATGTTGACTCCATGAATGATAGCTGACGGATCTCACGGCTTGTGAATTCTTGGTTCGATGCTAGGAGGTATTGATCGGCATGCTGTGCCTCTTCTGCTCCACTTGGCGTGGACGAAGGAAGAAGGATGCAAACCTTCCCAGTCGTGGAAGAAGAAAACCCGGTCACAAAGAGTGAATGCATAAGCTGTCTTACTACACTACGAGTAACCTCTGCGAGTGACATGTGCCCGCTTAGACAAATCACTGCCGTAAAGGAAAGCGGTTGTTGATGAAGCTTTACAAGAGCAGAGTCGAAGATCCATATACGTACACCAATCTGTCGGTTCTATCAACTGAAAACTAATCGTGAGAAATATGCCGAGTCAAAGCTCAGCCATGTCCGCAGTGTCATCTTTTACTTCTTCGAATCACCTTTGAAGTCAGTCCTGGACAAATATTCACACAACTACCCGATCAAGCACCTAATCGATCGCTCGATACACGTGAGAGTAAAGGAGGCCATTCATACAGCGCAACTCAGCCCATCTACTCTCTTCTCGTAGCATTATACATATCATTGGTGTTGGATCTATTGTTGTCCGACATCGTAAATGTTTTGTTCGGATCGGAAGGCAACTTTCGTTCCGCCTTGTAGAAATCTTGAGAACATAGAGCTTGATATGTGGACCAGAGCTCCGATGGCTCCATTAAATACTGACCAGTCGATGTTGTTGTTTGCGCTACGTTTGTGTCAGGGGTAGTGCCAAGATCTAACAGACAGGCTTCCTTCCAAAAGCCCCTGTCCGCGGCTGCAGCATTGATCCCTCCTCTGAATGTTCTTTGCACTTCTCGCCATCCTCGAAGCCTCGTTAACTTACTCTCTCATATTCAGCCTTTGGATTACTCCAGACATGCTCCGACTTCTAGCTCACCTCGAAGGTCCAACCGCATTGTTGCCATAGGATAGCTTGTCGGCCTTTATCTTGGCAAAGCATACTTGTCTTGCGAAAAGAGACGAGCTGAAGAGAGAGGAATCGAACTTCTAGGCTCAGTCTACTACCTGTCGTTCTGTATTTCTCGTAGGGTGATGCTGCCGCCGGAGTGACTGAGGGACCAATCAGTCATGCTCCGGGAATGTGAAGCTGTTAAATCTCACATCTTCCAGAAGGATTGGATCCGCCGCGGCTGTCGTCGTCGTGCCAGTCTAAGTCTAACAATTTGTGCAAGCTGCAAATCGGATGGTTTGTCATCCAGCTTCAAGGAGCAGATCTTACATGCTCGAGAGCAGGGCCATCGTACGCACTGTCAGCGGCCTGGGACACCATTCCTTTTGTTGGCCACCGCTTGTCCACCCAATTCTGCATGTTGATGCCTCGAAGAGCCACTAGCACACAAAGACCTCCTGCAATGTAAACAAAGATCACACTGACGGTGGATTGAAGTCCAACACCAACAGAATCTGCGAGTGGCACTGCAAAGGCTGTGRCAATCGCCGAAAAGGTGTATTGTACGATATACTTGCTCGCAATGGCTTCCTGCCGGCTTAACGGCATTACCTCTTCGTTTTGTTAGTCTAGCAAAGAATGTTTTGAGAAGGGTACTTACCTGCACAGTAGGTGTTCAAACCTGCAAAGGCTGCAAGAATACCCGCCGCTGTGAAGAATGCAGACACGATTGGTAGAGCCAATCCGCCTACCTTTTGGTTGATTCCCCAACCGAAGACGAGTGACGCAGCCGGAATGATCAAGAACCAACTGACAAAGCCACTGCGAAGTCTGTCTYGCGGTAGACGTAGACCATTCCGATTCTCGATCCACTGCTTGACCGTACGGTCTGAGAAGCGTCCACCAATGAGTGTGCCAACGAGGAAGCCGCCAGCTGGAGATAAGTAGAAGAGGCCAGAGATGAGTGGAGAGTTCAAGTTGTATTGGGTGACTAGAATGTGTCTTGGAGAGGACAGCAGTGCGTATTGTGACCAACTGAGCAGTCCACAGGCGAGATCTGTGAGAAGGAGATTGGGATAGCGCATGAGACTGAGCACCCTCATCGGATTCCAGATGCGGACAACATCTCCAAACGAAGGATGCTTCAGCGTCGCGGGCTTACCACCTTTGCGTAGAAATACCAACGAAAAGGCAAGGCCGATCGCTATCATGCCACATTGGACCCAAAGGATGACCCGCCAGGTGGTAAAGGTTGTGATGACTCCTGCTACAAGAGGACCGAGTGGTGGTCCGAGGACGGTGCCGCAGAGAAAGAAGCCCGTCGCAGTGCCTCGCTTGACAGGTGGGAAGTATTCAGCTAAAATGGCTTGTCCAGTGACGTGGAAGAATGTTCCTTGAAAGCCGGACAGCACGCGAAAGGCAATGAACGTTTCCAGGTTAGGAGCGAAGCTTGCAGCGAGTGTGCATGCTAGGAGGGCGATGATGCAGATGTTCCAAGCGTAGAGGCGTCCCCAGAGCTGTGTCGTGTTAGCGTACGATCATTGTTGTCTGTTGGAGAGACATACCGGTATGAGTGGTCCCCAAACAAAGTTTGAAAAGCCCATAGCTAGTAAGATCCCAGCACTGGAGTAGTTGATTGTCAGGGCATCCGTTTGAAACTCTTTTGCAATATTGTCTGCTGCAGAGAAGAGAGATGTGCTGCTGAAGCATGCCGTCAAGGTGACAAAGCTTGTTGTGAAGACCACGAGGCATTTCTGTATAGTTGAGACATCGTAGCCAGGCGAGTTCTCCTCGAGATCGACAATGATGGATTCAGCGGGTGATGAGGAAGGAGATGTTGATGGTGTTGGGTTTTGCTTCTCTTCGTCCTCTAAAGGGGCGTGAGCGGGTACAGCCATTTTTCAGTACAGAAGCTTTCGTGCGAGCGAGGACGTATGTTCCCTGGTTGAATAGACTGAAAGACAATATATGGAGACATGCCGGGGAAAATTGTCCCTCTTCACCGGGAGGAGCGAAAACTTGACCGGCGACTCGAAACTTTTGGCCGAACGTCTTCAAGCTCGATGCTCAAGACAATGTCTGGATAAGGCCAGTCGAGTAGCTTGAGGTGTCTGCGCGTTCTTACCTGCCACATGTCTTGCCACATCATCACTGCTTATCCTGCCTCTTTCACTATCCTTCATTGGATGAATGTTGAAAGTGAATATTCAGAGTGACGATGCTGTGTAAGCGTGCAGTGACTTGGTGGAATGAAGGAACAGTCCGACATCGGTGACCAGAGCGACGTCGGTGTCTCAACGGCGAAATCGTGCATCTTCGCCAGTGCTTGTTCTTTGTTCCACCGGCAAGTTGACCAGATCTCCGGTAGGCGTGGTCCTATCGGTCATCTCCAACAATGTCATCAACACCCACCAAACGAACCATTGCGTACGTCTGATAGATCCCCTTTCACAACGACTCTGCAGATTGACGAATAGATAGCTGCMACGAATGCCACAAGAAGAAGACCAAATGTAACGGACAAGGGCCGCCATGCTCAACATGTGCCGACCTCAGCATTGAATGCACATATCCCGTCCGTGACAAGAAGACCAAAGTTGGCCAAAGGTATCTCGATAAGCTGGAAGCGGAGAACAAGCGTCTCGCTGCTCTTGTCTCCTCGTTAAGCACATCTAGTGCCACACCTGCAGCGCAAACTCTTGTCGAGCCAAGAGCGGACAATGCGGATCGCAATCCCTTGATTGAAGAAAGACCATGGTTTTTGTCTTTTAAGAATGTAGACCTCCCAATCCACATTGGAGAGGCCGCTGACGCAGGATTCTCAACACGCCTGCGGCAGGCAGCTTCTTCGGCACCCGTCAGCCATCTGCCGAGAGTGAACTACCTGGCCGATGATGCTCTTCGTTCGTTTGGAGAAGTACCAATCGAGTTCCCAAGTGCATCGAGGGTGCGATTTCTCGTAGACGTTGCTTTGAAGACGACCTCCCGCAATTGGCACATCTCAAGAAGGAGTGTGGTGTTGGAGGATGTGCGAAGGATCAAACAAGACCCGGGGAATTGCGACTGGCTCACCAAATGCAGAATCTGGGCGTTGCTAGCCATTGGTGAGGCTTTTTCGTCTCGATGTGTGCTGCCAAATGAACCATTTCCTGGTGCAAGATATTGGACGAGAGCAATGCAGTTGGCACACATGCCTTCGGAGAGACCCAAATTGGATATTGTGGAAGTCAATCTTTTGATGGTATGGAATTGTCACTGTGTTTGACGGCCTTACTAATGGGAAGCAAGGCCTGCTACGCTGCATCCATGAATCGTCGTCACACGGCGATTCTCCTGGCAAGCCACGCAATGCGACTCTGCGTCGTACTTGGTCTGCACATCGAGATTGGCGAAACCCAGTTGCGAGATCCAGTGATGCGTGAACATCGATGTCGCCTTTGGTGGACAGCATATCGATTCGATCGAATGTGGGCAAGCAAGATCGGATGGCCACCTTCAATCCCGGATGATAGTGTCGAGATTGGGATGCCGTCAGATCAAGGTCTTGCCAATCTTTCACCGGAGATTCGAGGTGATTTTGGGGACGCTGAATACATCGTCATGTCTGTGCGCCTTGCAAAGATKCTGAATCATGCAGTCAACACATTGTACGTGCGGCGAAGGCAGCCGACGTCCTTCTCGGAGCGGGTGCAAGTCGCGGTAAGAGCGTTGAGGGATTGGGCAGAAGGCTTACCAGAGCATCTCAAATTGGACGACAGCGACGCCGACTCAAGGGTTGAGGGTCACATCCTCTACCTGCATTTGGCCTTTAACCAAGCTGTGATTGTCATCACAAGACCCATCTTGCTGCACTTATACAAGCAACGCCAGACGCCCATACACCAAGACAGTGCTCCACCTCAAACATTCTCCGAGTCGGCATTATCTTTGACGACAGCCTGCATCCGCTGTGCTCGACAGTCGATGGGGATGTTGAAGAGAGCGTGGGCGGAAGGAACATTTCCAACGTTTGATTACTTTCACACACAGTTTTTGTTCTCTTCAGCGACGATCCTTGCTCTTTCTGCCCTGCTCCAGAACTCAGGCTGGATGGGCGATCGCGAGGACTTTTTGCTTGCGTGGACATTCCTTCAACAGTTGGAGCTAAATGGTAACTTTGGTGCAAAGGAGGTTTGTATGCATGTTGAGGCGCTGGAGATGACTTTGCGAGAGAATCTCGATGTGGGAAGTAATTCTGTGCAGAGCGGTGTTGCAGAGGTGGGTGCTAGGCCGACATTTGCTCCGGTGGTGAATCCGCCGTTGCAGGACTTTCTCAATCATCCGGAGATTGATCTGGATTTCATGGATACTGGCGGAAACTGGATTGACTGGCAGGATGTGTTCTGGCCGGAGATGGAGCCTCCTGTTGGATGAGGGTGTGATGGATAGCCCCAAAACATTGCCAAATTCGAGCATGACAGTGAATAGCTTTTTACGACGCTTTGTCTGGGAAGTATGAAGCGTAAACCGGGCAGATGCACTTCTCATGAATGKTTTGGGTCCAGAATCGGCCGTACCGCGACAAGACGTGTGCTCCGTCCAGAAGTCGGCTACGGCTTACAGATGTGCCGTTGTTTCCAACGACGAGAATGCTGCTAGACCCGTTGTTTGCCCGGAATAAACGGCTTGAACCCGCAATCGTTGTCTGCGGCTGACGTATCCAGCTTCCCGTGGTCTTGGTTTTGAGGAGCGCCCTAGAAAGTGCGTCGGTGTTGAGCATCCTCCACTCTGCCGATGTGAACACAGTTGAGGAATTTCACCTCTCTTTTCTGTTGATCATATCGGGAAGCTCCTTCAGGGAGCATCTGTGGGACGATGTGTTTCGCTGCTGTGTATGTGATGCGTTCGATTTGCTCGAGACCCCAACGCTACCAGCGAGTGTTTGCTCAACGGGTATGACTCCGTTAGGAACATTCTTCTTCGCTCTCGCTTTACCAACACACAGGTCGTGGCATTTACCCTTCGTACTGTCGACACCCACACTCTTCTCTGCGGATTGCGTGGAGAATTCGTCATGAGATGCACGACTGTCCATCTTCTTCAACTCCGCGACTTTCAACTTGTTGAATAAATACAGCGAATTGATGACCCACAGGCTTCCTCCTGGATAGGACCGGGGCCATTTTTTGTGGAACGATCTTCTAGGACCATCTCATGTCTCGTGTTCCTGAACTCGACTGCAAATCGCCATTGGCGCATCTGAAAAACCCAATGCCCAGCAACGACTGCACGATTGCCATTCATCTAATCCGCAGTAGAGATTGACAGTATCAGGATCGTACACGATACAATCAAACCCTTGCTGCTGACAATGATTGCACGGCGAGCTAGCTCGTACTCCCGCAATCGTTTCCTCAATGTTGGCGATATTCGAAAGACATCGCTTGTGGATTTGTGTGAGATGACCGCTTGCCCAGTCTTCACGGGTGTCCGGGACAAGATGGCTATACCAGACATCTTTRTTCTCCGGCCGACGATGACGAACAAAGTCTGGCTCGACTGGTTTCCTGGGGTGTCTCGAGCCGAGTGAGACACTCATTGAAGCAGGGCCACGAGCACGTCGACGGATTTTGAATGGGTGCGGTCTCGCAGAAAGGGTATCAATTTCATGCAATTCTTGGAGAGCTCTGTTGCGAAGCTCGATACGTTGTGAGTTTCGAATGGACTTATCTGGCCTGCGCTTTCTTGCTCGCAGCTGAGAATGGCTGTAAGGTCTGCTGGAAGGTCCACCGTCAGAGAGAGCTGCGTCCTCCTCAGAGTCGGATGAAAGATCTATGGCAATGTCGCGTTTGGAAGCTTTCGTGGTGGCGACGCTCTTTGGCTCCTCTTTTGTAGAATCTTGCTCTGGTCCCAACATTATTTCTTCGGCATTAGTAGGCCTGTCCTCAACGAGGGGTGTGGAACCTTGCAGAGTCGGCTTCATTCCTAGAATCATGGACAGTGTTGGTCCATCATGGTCGCTCGGTCTGAAGTTCTTGTATAGATTTCGTATCTCAGCTTTGGCATTGCAATATGTAAGGTTGCCTTCTCCATCGTGTTTGTCGACGTCAATGGTTCGATCTRCACGTAAGATTGCCTGGACCTGTTGGTGAACAAATGATGAGGGCTGCACCGAGAGATATCTCAGGCACCGAATCAGGTGGTTGAGGGAAGGTGTCTTGTCGGTGGAAGTTTTTGAAGTCTTTGAAGGCGATCTACTAGGCATCTTCGAGACGTTTTGTGGATGTTGGTGATGTAGTCGAGGAAGAAGAGGTCCTCAGGATCAGTGATCGTCGTTGGCGCCATCGCGGGCCGGTTCCGAGAGCCCTAACCCTAGCTCTTACTGCAATTTAGATCAAGTTCTTCTTTTTGCATTCTGTCTCTGTCGTCAACATTCGTGAAGATGAAAATTAAGCGGCGAAGCCTGCAAATCATGACGAAGAAATGCTTGATGGAGCTTCTTGCCTCGCTGGTCATCGCCGGCCACCTTCCGACGGCACCGGAACAGAGTCATGCAGTGACCAAAGACGGTGTAGATGCGCACCAGGAAAAGCATCGGATCCATCGTCTTGAACTTTGAAGCATGACGATGACCCCTCTTCAGCAAATGCTTTCATTGCACGTCTCAAGTCTTTTCCTTTCCGTCTTCCTAAATATAACTTGGTCATGGCCGAGCAAGATCTTGCAGAGTTCTCTGGCGGGAAAGCAGAAGACATGCCAGAATCGCTCTGGAAATGGCTGTCGAAGGAAGCAAAGGCCAACCAAGGAGGTACAGCCTTCATCGCGACACATCAGCATGCGGATCTTTTGAGCAATCTGGTGCCACAGAAAACAAGCAAAACCGGGCATCTGTCTTGGACATATCATCAGCTGCTTGAAGCTGTTGAGCGATTGTCGGCGTTCTTCATTCGAAGCAACATCGCGGCTGGAGATGCAATCTACACCTTTTTGGATAATGACAGTGCTGCCGAGTGGACCCTCCTCTTCTGGACGGCTGCTCGTTTGGGAGCTGTTCTCGTACCGATGGACCCGAGAGCTTTGGAGCGAACAGAAGAGGTGGAAAGCTTGAGTGAAAATCTCAAGTCGAGCGTGGTAGTTGTGCTGGATGATGTTCAAGCTCGAGCTTTTGATCGATCGAAAGTTGGCGCAATCAAGCTCAAACTGATGTGTAAGGATATCGGAGGAATTGAAGGCTGGCAGTCTCTCAATCAGCTTCATCTCGACGGAGACGCCACCATACCTGATCATCATTCAAACCTCGAAGATGTTGCTCTCATTATGTGTACCTCGGGATCCACTAGCCTCCCTAAAGGCTGCGTTGTCACGGTGCGTGGATTGATTGCTCAAACAACACAGTATCACTCTCTGTACAATGTTCAGTTCGACAACAAARCTCGGCATCTTGTCACGGCAGCAGCATTTCGTCCCGTCTGCTATCTAAGCTGTCTAAACGCATGGGCAGCTGGTGGCGCTACAATCTTCTACGGCAGCGATTTTGACATGGAAAAGATTTTTGCTACATTCGAGGAGATGGAGATTACGCATGCCTGGTTTGTTCCCGCCATGGTGCATTTGCTGTACGGGCACTTTTCGAAGCAGAATACGGACGTCGCCACAACGAAGACGTTGAAGGTTGTCATGACTGCTGGGGATACTCTCGATCACGATCTTGTCGATGCTGCGAGGAAGATGTTTCCGCATAAAAGGACGAGATTCATACCTCATTGGGGTATGTCGGAGGGTGCACCGGTGTTTGGGTTTGTTGGGCAAGATGCAGAGGTGTTGAAGTTTGATGAGTCGACGGGCGTTGCAGGAGTTGGCAGGCCGCTTCCGGGGACAATTGCCCGGGTTTGTCAGCCTGGTACGACAGATGTAGCGAAAATGGGCGAGCAAGGAGAGTTGCACGTATGCTCCGTGGCTACCATCAATCGATATCTTGGTGGCAGGGCTGCGGAGGATTTTTATGAGGACGACAAAGGAAGGTGGTTCAAGACAGGGGATGCAGCGGTGATGGACAGAACGGGCGTTGTTTATATTGTTGGAAGGACAAAGGACATTATTGTTGTGCTGCATATGAGGCATATCATACCAAGCGTGTTGGAGGGATGTTTAAAGAGTGGATTTGGTGTGGAGGTCGTTGTTGTAGGGGTGAAAGACGATCATCATGGGAATGTGGCTGCTGCTGTGGTAAAGGGGATGACGGGAGGAGAGGAGAGGAAGAAAGAGATGGATGGGTATGTGAGGAGGAAGTTGGGAGTGGATCAAGGGTTGAAAGGTGGGGTGTGGACCTTGGAGGAGTTGAGAATGCAGGATTGGCCGTACAACACCTCGAAGAAGATTCAGAAGAGAGATCTAGTGGGTAGGATTGAGGAGTTGAGGGGTGAAAAGTAGATGATCTCACACTTGGTGGGATTAATTTGCTTGTCTGGCGGGAATGGGAAGACCCAAGTTTGCACGCCCCTGTGAGACTGCATCTGCTATTCAGGGCTCTCTATGATCCCTACTGCTCATACCGTCGATCCGCAATAACTACAACGAAAGACAGCACAGGGCACATCAACGCAAATCGGCCCTGGAGTAAACTATCAGCGGCATCAAATCGATACTTACTTGAAGGTGCAGCAATGGTTGACTCTCTGTGGAGACCGGTCTCGGTGCATCCTCGTGCTATGGTTCGGAAGACTTGAATGAGCGCCTATTGACGCTGCTCTCCTTCCACATTTATGCGGGCATTGAGGCGAGCGCTCACTTTCTCGACGCATCAGCTCTAGACTGAGAAGTGGGTGATGATGTCGTTGGAGCAGTCGTCAAGCGCTGTTGAAGCTGCTCGCATTCATCAACTCCAGCTTCGGTTCAGCGACAATACTCGTAATCGCCTCATTCTCGGCCACCGCCTGGAAAGGTTAATGTCCTGCAACTCTTCACGTTCGGGCTGTTCGACCGAACAGTAACGCCTTTAGCCAATCCTTTTATGGGGACGTGGTATATTGAGCCTCAATAGATGCCAAATCCTTTGCACATTGCCCGGCGGAGTCGTACCTCTGTCGCCAACAGCCTTGAATCACATTGCAAGCTAAGAGGTGATCCGTGCTTGGAAACTTGCCTTCCTTGAACAGCGCGTCTATCTCTTCCATGTCATCGATGCTGTCCAGGTGTTCGTACGGTTCGTGCCCTGTCATGATCTCGTAGATGGCACTTCCTACGGCAAAGAGATCGGAGTAGTGATCTGCTGTTCCTGGGCATCGTGGCAGATACGACTTTGTACCTTCGGCGCAGAAGCCCTGGTAGACGTTGCCATGCGCATGATATCTCCCCTGGAAATCACCTAACTGCAAGTCGTATTCGCTGGTGATGAAACAATTTCGAGGGCTGATGTCGCAGTGGAAAACTTCTTTTGTATGAATGTACTCGACGGCTTCTACCAACTGTCGTGACCATTTTAACTCTTCGCGAGGATCATTGTTGCGTGTCTGTAGAGTGTCACGTAGTGTTCCATTGGCAGCCTTCTCCAGTCGTAGGCCGGATTCGTCGAGCCCGTAGCACCGTAATATCCTTGGATGGTGGCCAAGGAGGTCGTAAATCCGCGCCTCATGCTCGATGGCCTCGCGATCGGTCGCAACATGAGGATACTTGAGCACCTGATTGCCACCAACGTCCCCGATGAAGCTGGTGCTCCCGACCGCGATGACCCTCTGCACTCCGGCGGCCGTGTATTCCCATATCACCTCTGGCTCATCGTTTGGCATGTCCGTGCAGTGTTCGTAGCAGCGGGAATTATCGTGGGCAGAATTATCGTGGGAAGGACGTCGCGGGGAATCGTAGGTCGTAGAAGGTTGTCGATATAGGTACTCACTCGCAGGAGGCCTTCACAGGTCGCGGGTGATCGTGGCTCGTAGATACCTACCTTAGGTAAGGTGGTTACAGATTCTCGCCGGAGACTTACTAGAACTACTTTGCGGAACGGTTCCGCTTCGCGTCACCTCACAAACTTTTTCGCGTCACCTCGCACTTCCACTCGAACAACACCCAACCAACCCTCAAAAATATCTCCCGCGACGACGACGAAGATATGAAGACTATTTGCTTGACGTGCCACGATCCGGAGCGCGACGGCCATGCCTGGACCGAGTGCACCAACCCGTGCTTTACGTGCGGCAAGGAGCACTTCCGCCAGGCATGCATCGAAGTGCCCGAGCTGTACGGCCACAAGGTGGACTGGAAGTTGCGCGATCGCGCCACCGAACGCCTCCACCAGAAAGAGCGAGATGCAAAGGTCAGGTACGACAAGGCCGCCCTTGAAGCGCAGGCCATCGACAGGATCTACAACCTCGTGAAATCCGGACAGATGGCCATCCCACCCCGCATCGAGGAAGATGAAGATGCATCCGTTGTTCCTGCTCCTGCTCCCGCACCCGCGCCCGCCAGCGGCTCTAAGCCCAGTGCGAAAGGCAAGGGTCGGGAGAGCGGGCTCAACGCGGTCTTCACGCTCTTCGGTGTTGCCGCGTGGGTTGACCTCTGGCCAGACTGGCACACGCCAGACGCGATGTTCACCAGTACGAATGCTCGGGCTCGGACGCGCAAGCGCTTGAACGAGGAGGTGACCGGTATTCGACCACTGGCTGCCGACTCTTTTCTCGTGCCCGTCTTGAAGGCCAAGGGCAAGTGGCCTCCTCCACCCCCAATGATACTGGCGGCGGAAGAGGATAAGATGGTGGAGTAGCAGCGTCTCGGAGAGAAGCCAAACGCGCTCCCCAATGGAACTTTGATCTCTTTTGAAGTCCATACCCCTCGGGGTTAGTCCAAAGTCGAGATGTGGCAAAGTCGTCACGACTTATAAGCGAAAGCTCTTTTCAGTGAAGAGAGCAGTCGCTGCGGTCAAATTTTCATCAACCTTTGCGCTTTCATGCAAGAAGTTGGGGAAGATTACCTTCATGATTGTTGCACGCAGGACCGAGCCTGCAAGCAGCACCGCACTGAGCCTCCAAGCAGCACCGCACCGAGCCTGCAAGCAGCACCGAGCCTGCGAGCAGCACCGAGCCTCCGAGCCGAGCCTGCAAGCAGCACCGAGCCTGCGAGCAGCACCGAGCCTTCGAGCCGAGCCTGCAAGCAGCACCGAGCCTGCGAGCAGCACCGAGCCTTCGAGCAGCACCGCACCGAGCCTGTAAGCAGCACCGAGCTTACAAGTAGCACCGAGCCTTCGAGCAGCACCGCACCGAGCCTACAAGCAGYACCGAGCTTGTAAGCAGCACCGAGCCTTCGAGCAACACCAAGCCTACAAGCCTATAAGTAGCACCGAGCCTTTAAGCAGCTCCCCGACGACCCGTAGTCGACCYCACTCCGAGCGGTAGTAAAAGCGATGGCGCCTTAATACCGGAATGCGTGTCTAGCATCTTCGATCCGACTTCGACGCACTATACGACTAGGATGTGCCTTACGGACTAGAATGTACTTTACGCGAGATATAGACGTATGCTTCCTAACACGATAGGAGCGGATAGGATAGAAGATGCTTATCGCGATAGAACGGCCATATATAAGCTCGAGTCTTTATAGTTAGTTCGTATAATTAAGCTCTACTATAGGTAACCTCTATAGCGGTAGTACGTAGGAAGTTATCTAGATTATTCTCCCCGTAGTCTTTAGTACGCCCCTCTACTAGCGATACGCGCTCTACTATATTCTCTACTATCCTATATCTCCTACTACTACGAATTTCCTTATACCCCCTAAGTAATATTAATATTAGTACTCTTTAGTACGTTAGCCTACTACTATATACCTTCGCTATAGATAAGGATCCTATTCGAGTAACGGATAGGTATATACGGCGTACTTTAAGTAAGCCTAACTCTAAACCTAATAATAATTATAATCTCGAGAGTATTACCGAGTAGGTTTAGGTAGAGCCTAAGGGTATAAAAGAGGCTCGAGAATAGATAAACGAAGGATAGGAACCCGTATAGACGCGTAGCGAATTACTTCTAGAAGTATTCCTAGTAGATTTAGGTAGAGCCTAACGAGTAATAGGTAGAGCTCGTCGTTAATACTAAGGAGAAATAGGGAGAAATAGAGTCTAGTTTTAGAATATAGACCTATATAAAACCTAATACTAAAGAGGGTAGGGATAAAGATATAAGGAGTTAAGGATAAAAGAGCGTAGTAGATAACCCGTATAAACGCGTAGTAGATTATCCTAAAGGTATTCCTAGTAAATTCGGGTAGAGCCTAATAATAAAGAGATTATATAGAAGATAAAAGGGTCGGTACGAGGAATAACGCGAGATCGAGAACTCGTATAAACGTATAGCGGATTATAATATTAGAGGTATCCTTAAATACGTCTAGGTAGAGCCTATTAGAAATATAAAGTAAAACTAGTAGGGGTCACGGCGAATAACTACTACGCGGGTAAAGAGGGTTAGTCTAGAGTATATCTTCGGATCTCGAGTTAGGCCTTATATATCGGAATTATATAGATTTTCTTACTATATTCTCTTAGATATTTAATTCCCTCTCGATTCTATATCTTATCGAGTATAGGGCCCGTATATTACGTAAGCAGTTTAATTTTAAAGTCGTCGTCTTTATAAAGCTAGCGTTACGTTTACTAAGAGCGTTATAGTTCCTACTAAGAGCGTTATAATTCGACTCTTTCTTAAGGATTATTACGATAGCGCCGTATTATACCTTATAAACATACTATCTATTACTCTATTATAGGCTTGTACGCGAGTAAATTAATCTAAAAATTCTATAAGGTTTTTAGTTCCCTTAAATACTATATCTATATTAATTACGCCCGTAGAGATAAGGCGGAGAGCGTTATAACTCTCGCTAAGAGCATTATAATTCGATTCTTCTTTAAGGACTACCGCGATAGCGCCGTATCGTACCTTATAAATATATTATCTATAATTCTATTATAGGCTCGTACGCGAGTAAATTAATTTAAAAACTCTATAAGGTTTTTAGTCCTCTCTAATATTATATCTATATTAATTACGCTTATTCTAGTATATAGTTCCGGGTTTAGGGTTAGACCTTATATACCTAAACTATATAACTTTTATCGCTCTATATTATATAGTATATAATCCTCTCTTATTTCTATATCTCCCTACCTATAATCCACTATTAGGATTAGGTTAATTCTAATAGCGGCCTTATACAAACAAAGTTAGGGTTACGACCCTAAAGGGGTTAATCCTAATAGGTTAATCCTAATAGGTTCCCTTTATCGTATATTTCTAACGTTTAGACAGCTTCGAGTATATCGTAGAATTATAAATCCGCGAAGTATCTAAGTCTATCCGAGCGCTACCTACCTATAATCCACTATTAGGATTAGGTTAATT